CAACTACTTCCTGCTTTTGGTTTTTTAGATGCTTCTAAAAGAGAGTAAGTATACACTAGAGTATATCCTCAAGAATTTCCATGTACTTAATGTAACGTTATTACGAATGGTACAATACATACTAAAAAAAATTGATTTTTGAGTAATGTGTTAAGTGTGGAGTGTGTATTTTTTTAAAAGCTTTATTGAAGAACATTTTAAAACATAACAAATAAAATATAACGAAATGTCGATAACCATATTTGAAGTTCGGCTCCTTAAAGGTACATAGGTAAATATTCAAGTTGCTTCTATTCTGTTCAGATAGAAGTAAACGCTTTAGAGAATTTCCGTTTACACTTTGAACGAAAGCATCACCCATTTGTCTGGATACTTTATATTACTTTAGTTACAGTTACCTCGTCGCTGTCCTAACATGTGTTTATTTACCGCACACAGAAAGCATATAATAATAGCAAATATTAAGTCAGCGTGAGCAGTATATTCAATATTTCAGCTGATATTTTCCATAAAAATATAATATATTAAAACAATTTATTTGTAGACCAATAGATTTGTAGTTTTCAGTAATAATATAATTCATTTCGCTTCGATTACATACAGTCTCTACGAAAGATAGAGTGCCCAAGAATATAGCACCTTAATATAAAAATAATATGTAAATATTTCATATATTTGTAAATACCTATGTGAATATAGGCTAATATCGAGAAAATAATTTCATTGCTCCGTTATTCTAGTTGTACTTATTAATGACATTGTGTATTCTCCATTAAAATACCACATAACGGTACTGATTATGTAGCGACTACAAAATCGATAACTTCTTAAATGATTAGGGAACGTATAAACAAGCTATTCATATATATATATGTATATCAAGCTATATATATCAATATAGAAGATGATTCTATCTACATTGATGTGTTTTTAACAATATATAACAATATGTGGCAATCTCGTAGAATTCATAATTTCACGATCGGGCCGGCCATTTCATGAATTTTTTCTATTTCATACAATATGTTGTATGAAATAAAATTTCATACAGTTACAATTCTATTTCATACAGTTCCTACAATTATGAGATAATTGAAGGAGTATAGTGCGAGTAACTTAAGTAATTATTTTCCGACGCTTGGTCACCCTACTCTATTTAATTTGATGTATACACGAAAAATTTAAATAAATCATGTCGCACAAAAACAATGCGACATTAACATGTCTTACTGAGAGTTATATGGTCACTAATGCTTGACCACATCATCATACACGATATGATCATCATACAGCCGCCACCCATATCGTTAAACGACAATTATTCATTGATCTGGACAGGCCACATCATAACGTGTGCAGCAAGTTTTTTCCATTTCATGAAATACGACCGTTTCAGGAAAAGGGACGGTCGCATCTTGAATTGGTTAATTCTACGATCTGGCCACGAAATATATTGTTATTGTTGCACAAATATATTAATTTAAATTTCGTCTACTTAATACATATTTATAGCTGCTACATATAGGTAGGTATATATTTTTGTTATTATTATAATATCAAATAAGTTCTTTACCTTAATTTGTTTTCTCTTATTCCTTTAAATTAATGCAACTAACGCGTCTCACAAAAATCTCGTATTTTTCATTTGTATAGTCACTCCAGAAACAGCACCGTAAATGAGCTATATTTCAAATGCGAATTACTTTCACGACAGTAATGACACCGCTTATTTAAGTCTTTCCATTCTGCACGAGGGTATGAAACAAATCGCGTAGCTCTTAGATTGTAAACCAATTTCTTTAGTGTAAATAAATAAAAATATTCGGTAGTTAAAGTAAAAAGTTGAAACATATTACATTATTGTAAAATAGTTTTAAAACCATTAGGTTTTAATGACGACTCTAATTATAGAGTCGTCATTTATTTGTTTTCACAAAATGTTCAATTATTTAAATATTCATTAATTATTAACGTACCGTAAAAGGCGAATTTGGTAAAAGCAGCATTTTAAACTTTATTTTATTTATAGTTAAGATTAAAATCGACCGAGGAAATTTGACATTTCATGATAACCTAGCTTGAATTTATTAAAGGTAAAGGTAATACATATTTGTAATATTTTTAGAGGTACTCTTGTGCAGAAGCGAATGAAAGTTCGCATATGTTCCAGATAAAAGTATTTTTACAAAATAATATTTTGATTCAAATAGGAATAACCGTAATATTGTAACTTATAAAATACTGACTTGAATCAGGTACATCAATACAAACAATTGAAATATAGCCCGTTGTATCCATCACACCATGTTTCCTTTTCATGAAAGCCACAATCACTATTTCATTGGCAGAACTAGATTGACATTATAAATTACGTAAATTACATTCCAAAAGTATGGAAGATGTAGTTTTTTATCATAATATACAAATAACTGATTAAATTTAGTGACATTAATTACATTTCACTGATATGTAACATTATGTACAACACTTGACTATACAAATAGAATAACGATACTAAATCACCATCATCAATAAATAATTCAATGACTAAAATAGCATTATATTTAGCATTATATTAAACAATATTAACTATAATACGCGAACTATACAAATATTACTGTACAATATTATACAATGGTTAGAGGTTACAGAAATGTACCTAATAATAAACTTATAAAAGTACGAAACAAAGAAGTGTTAACTTATTACCTGTTACCGTTAATATCTAGTTTGTGCCCATGTTTATTGGTGCCTGCTAATAGAAATGTCTTTTATAAATATTCACTGTGTAAAATTTTATGTCATTGGGATGAGTCGATGTATAAATTATTGTATCACTGGAAATTTTGAATTGAAAGCGGAAATAAAATGTAACTTCGTCACGCGCCCAATTGCCTAACTCTTTAATGTAAGTTGAATTTAGTATAAACTATGCATATAATAAATATGATTATTGTATTAAATAATTACGTGCGTTTCGAACAAAGCAGACATTATCGGCATATCTTAACGTTATACTTAAGAAAAACTGTTCAACTATTATTAACAACTGTATAAATCATAAATAATATATAATTTTATAGAACATAATAAAAAGGTTTGTGTTTATTTTTCATTATTATTTATATTTTAGTGTAGTGTAGTTGATATAACGATGACAATATTTTTTTCAGCAATAATTTTCTGTTATTATTAAAGACAGAATGAAAACTGTAAATGTAAGCCTGTTCGGCTAAATTCATAGTATCACACTGTACCTATCGCGTGAGCAAACTAACGTGCGACATTTTATACGAAGATCGAATTAAGTAGAATTTTTCTTAAGACAATTCGTCACTTAAATAAATAGTTACAATTATTTCTACTTCATAATTATTTAAAATAGCTGTAAGTGTTATGTTAAATAATGTGTATTATTTTACAGATTTCTTACAGGTGTGCGTCCGCCAACTAACTAGCTAAACTCTAGCCACAGGATAGGACATCTAAGCGATACTATGGCGATATTTCGTTTTATTTTATTACTTTGACATGTAATTTAGTGGACAAAATTTGGCATAAATTTCTAAGTTGGTAACACTGTTAAATCCATTCATCAATCTTTCATTCTTCAATATTAAAAAATAAAGTACATGTCAAAAGTAGTAAATGAAATTAAATACCGCCATAAAAACGCTAAGAGTTCGTATCCCTTGGCTAGTCATCGTTAGAGAATTTGGACACCAGGGTAGCGGAACTTGAATTGTGTTGTCACACACCTCAAGATCCTAGATAATATACGATAAACACTGTATCGTTATAAGTATTACAAGTATTCTAGTTTCAATAAAATATAGTTACAATTAATTATTTTTGGCCTCGAGTAACATTATAATTATTTGATTATAATATATAGATGGATACTATTATTTTTAAAAGGATATAATTAAATAACTGATTATCATGATCAAATACCCAAGCAGATTTGTATGGAATAAACAAACCATAAGAGTAAACGCTAAAGATATCAAAATTTAGAATTCAATTTTACGGCTGGAGTACGTCTGGCAGCGTGACGTTTTCCGTGTTCCTATAGTTTTCTGTAACTCAGATCTGCCGTTTCAGAGCGATAAAAATAGCTGATGTGCAACAGTAAGCCGCAACATTCTAGACGTTACAGGCAAATCTTTCTAACCAGACGACGGTTCTGAGCGACAGAACAGGACAGGGCGACGGTAAGAGGCGATACCGTATTGCCAGATGCAGTCTAATCCTTGTCTTTGCTCTTACGAATTTAATTCAACTAGCTTTATTTTATTACAACTAGCTTTAACTCAACTGAACAAGTTATTTTACTTTAATTTTTAAATAAGTAAATATATGTGTAATACTTAAAGTAAGGAATCTCTTTCGCATCGCAATTAATTCATACCTATTCAGTTCAATAATTATAATACATAACAACTATATCTTGTACTTCCAGGAGTGCTAATTTATACAAAAATAACTAAGGCAACTTTTGAATGCAATCAAAAGGATGCCCATAGTATGTTCATATATTTTTCGTCAGTTCTCGAGACGCTGATTTTGTCAATATATAAATTAAGAAAATTTGTCTAACATTTCCGACACAAATTATTTCTAAAAAAATGTAACTGAAGCTTTTATAGAAAAACTTTAGATAAGAACACACTCGCTTGGCGAATTTTTAATAACATAATTCGACATTACAGGTTAGTAACCAAATAAATAAGTCAAAGTATAAGAAATTAAATAACTCTTATCCTTCCAAATAGACAAAGACATTTAATTGATCGCATGGCGGACTATAAGTAAACATTGTTACAGAATTGTAAACATACAACAGCTCTTCATTCTGATATTTTCATTTTACTTTAAAATACAGTTACATATATAATATGTGTAAGGATATAATTTTTAAGAGCAAGACCAATGTCTAAAAGTCAATTGTAATATTATTTACAGACGTACGTCTATTTTATAAATACTTTTTTTTTCTTGGTTTAATAAAAAAATTAACGACTTAGCTTATATATAACGACTTATCCTTCAACCCGTGCTGCGCTAAGGCACAGTTACCAATGACCCAACTATACGTATTAACACTCGTATGGATAGATCCCAATGTAATAGCGATCGTTTACAAAAAACGCAAACATATATATTAATATAATCAATGTTAGACAGAAATATTAATTAACGCACTCGTTACACATTTAAGCCATGACAGGTAAAAGTTAACATTTCCTTGCGAACACCAAGTAAAGTCCCACGGACTTTTTTTAATTGAACGTCGTCCAGCCCTTTGGCACGCTAGATGATGTTTCTTGCCTTGTACTCGATGAGCTAGGCGTGTAATCTAACAGTCCGAATTGGCTAAAATCAAGTCCGTATTCGTGTAAGAGAGCACTGTCAGTAGACGATTTGATTTGATCAACATTATTTTTGTCACGACACTTCAGTGGATCGAAATCTTCTAAATTAGTCGGCGAATCGTCCAGTTTTATGAGATCAGAAACCGAGCCACACGACTGAAAAAGAAATTATATACATTTAAAGATAATCCTGTCGCAAACCGACTTTTTCTCAGTGTTTCAATACTGGTTTAATGTTAAAATTACTTAATTTTTGAAAATATATTTTACAAACCTTTTATAACGTTATTTTTTTATTAATAACAAAAAGTAATGAGAACTATCAGTATGGACTGGCTAAATCTCAAACATATTTAGATATTTTTGGGACAAATTTTATTATAAAAACCAACGAAACGATCTAACAATTAATAAAATATAATATATTGTTTGTCAATAAAATGCCAGATTTTTCACTACTTTCAGTTTACTTACTACATACTAATAAATTTTACAAAATGAGTAACTAATCGAGTATTTTATTGACATTATTTTTTATTTATAATAATTGATATGATATTATATTGATATAGTTCATATTATCAATTATTAAATCACATAATGTAAGGTCAAAATTTCTGATTGCTTCATTACTCCTATTGTACATATTCAATAATTTATAATGTTAATATAAGAATTAGAAAAGTTATAAGTACATAATTCTTAAAATATATATACATGATATTTTGTGATTTCATGCATAAGTATATTAATAACATATCTTTTCAATTTCAGCTAGGCTGAGGACATATATTAATTAACATGCATATTCAAGACAAACAAACAATTTTATACACTGCATAATACTTTGTAAAAATTTCAAAAATCTGAAGACAGCCAGTATTAAAAATATACAATAGTATGTTCATTGTAATCATAATACTAATTATGTGATAAAAATATTAAGACGTCAGTTTCTTTTCTTTTTTCAAAATATATCTATATAATCTCGTAGTGATTAATTACGAAATCTACATTTTTGATTTCAGATTTATCCGAATACGAGCTGTCTCCTATGTCTATGACGCATATCTCATATCATACTACAAAAAAGTGCAAAAAGGAATATGGTGGTGCTGATCTATGTGTAAGCCTATTACAAAAAAAAAGACCTTCGCGAGCGTAAAAATAATAAATTGAAATTACAGTAATAATAGATGAAACCTAAAATTCCTCTCTTGTCACGTTATGGGAGCGCGAAACATGTTGACACGTGGAACAATACGTCAAGACGACTATGCGTAATTCTTCGAAACTAACATCTCTCATTTAAAGAAAAACGTTTAAACAAAATGTAAATGATGTCAAAAGTATGATTGCGTCTTAAGGCGAATAGTTTTCCTATAAAAAAAATACAAAGGTAGAGGTGCCTTTGTAATTTCAGTTATTTTTAATTTCTTTTGTTAATCATATTTATTTATTTATATGGATAAATAATAAATAGTAGCGTATGATGTGAAGCCTAAAAATACAAAGGTAGAGGTGCCTTTGTAATTTCAGTTATTTTTAATTTCTTTTGTTAATCATATTTATTTATTTATATGGATAAAAATAAATAGTAGCGTATCTTGAAGCCTGCTGTAGGATACATTTTATAATAATCGAATGGGTTTAGTTAGAGTAATTAAAAAGATATATATATTGACGCTCCATTTCCCGCAATTTCACTGGCAAGCCTGATGTTACCTTCTCGTTTTCTCTTTAATCTTAACATTACGAGGAATTTACGGCGCGTACAGATTAAGCCACGACGGCAAATGAACGTCAAAAATGTATATTCAATAACAAACTTTATCATTATACTTATAAGGGCTACACAAAACCAATTCGTTATTGCGTATACAAATAAGGTAAGTTATTTGTATGTTTGGCGTTCGTTCGCGGCATTAGTTTCTGTTTGCTAGCCATCCAAGTAAGTTATACACTGATTACAATGGCAAAATGAATAGTTTTTCTTTGGACGCAACGTAGTGGTCAATCCAAGCATATTTATAAGTAGTATCATGGAAATAAAATGAAATATAAACCAGTCAGCGAATTCATAATAAGATCTTCTAGAATTAAAGAAGTTTGAATATAATAAACGAAATTTGCAATAGAAAACAAAACATCGGGAAACAGTCACAAAACTGTTATAGTGATTTGGATCTAATTATTGGTAGCAATCTATCAATCAATGAAACAGCCAAAGTATTAATTGTTAAAATTGCACAAACACAAGACCCCTGTATTTCTTCTGAATATAAAAAAAAAATTACTACCCACATGTTGAATAATAAAAGCAACAATCGTCAGCCTCTGACGTCACATATCACAAAAACTTCTTAAAATTTTCCACATTTCATAAATCACAGCCCAACGTATTCCCGCCCGCACCCATGTAACGTTTTGGGCAAGAAGTAAATTTATAAACTAAGATATTCAAACTTAAAGCAATAAAAAGCATTTATAAAAAAATATAGAACAATATGATGTAGACTGAGAGCTATTTTATTATCGACGAAACCCAAATTATACTTGTATTAGTCAGCATATAAAGAAAGATTAACATTTCCTTTATTATATAGACCTAACCGAACTTAACGAATTTCTGTTGTCCCCTCATACTCGATTTTACGACTCATTCATACTGATAAGAATTATAGAAACCGGAATAAATGTTTAAAAACAATGTAACTTAGCAAAGTAAAATAAAAAAGGAAGGTAAAATATTAACGCTTAACGATTTAGGTGAAACTAAACGTTTACAAATATATAAATATTTCAAAGAATACATTCAGATATATTGTTGCATAAAAATAAGAGACTCATACCAAACACAATATAATTATAAAAAATTATAACTACTTGTCGATATCAAATATTTAACTTATTCAAATTTTTAGCAATTAAGGCCGTTTTTTTATCATCGATTTATATTTGACACAAAGTTATTACGTTCAATTACTTTTAAAATTTAAAGGCGTAATAAATAGTGATCTATCACTTGTTTCTCTTGAAAATAAGTGTGGTTTGTAGATACGATGTATTAATGGTCGTATATAATTCTTAACAATAGGGCAGCGATATGAGAGGAGGAGGAAACAACACTATTTTTACCGTTTAAACATCGATTCATCAAAACTTTTAATTATATTTACCTTTTCGAACACAAATTGATGATCAACTATCTTCATGGAGACCATTACAGTTAAATGCATATCACCGCTCCGTTTTAAATAAAATAATATAGTTTGTTCTTCAATAATTCCGCCAATTCGACTATGAGCATTTGCGTTAACAAAATATTCACGTAATTAATATTTCATTATCTTCGATAAATCCTTCAGTGCACTAAGGGTTTGTGGGCTGTATACTGTTATATTATCATGACGAATAAAGGGACCACCTTTTAAATGTTATAAATATATTATATCATAATCATTGACAATAAATTAAATAGATACGTACATAGCTTTATAACAAAGGAAAACGCAGTTAAATTCCGTGTGGTTAGTGCAAAACAAAACTCCACGCTGTTGTCAAGGTATGAAGGCAATCTTTTGTTTTATAACAAAGTACAATATCGATATGATTAGAAATGCACATATCACAGTTACCTCTTGTACTTTCCCCTTTGGAGCTATGTTGTCAGACGGTCGGGCGACCGGCCTCGTTATACGACTCACTTGCCTCTGTCTTACTCCTAAAGAGGATGCCGAATTTATTGGCGTACTGCTTTTGTTTAGTTGCGGCACCTTTCTCTGATTCGACGATATGGTGAGTTTTAACTTGGCCTTGTCTTTGCCTTCTGTGAATCGTATCGTGCTGGTATGGAAGTCTTTATCCGGCGTCGTATCGTTTTTTGTAATGTTACTTATAAAGTGCATGTGATTCGCCGCGTTAACGGACCGCGGTGGCGGTGTTGGAGCATCTGATAGATCGATTAGTTTCCTCGTGGAAATGATGGGGTAACGGAGTGGGAGTTGGGGACGTTCCGGTAACCGGGGTGGGAGGCATGGTGACATAGTTTTCTGTAAAATAAAATTGAATAATGTGCCACGGTGTACCTAGGGGCGTACACATGCTTGTAACGCATTCGCTATGTACCCAAGACGATGGTAAAAAAAATACAAACTGCAACAAGCACATTACGAATGTACAAAAGCACAATATTACTTTATCAAGCGCAGCAAGATCTTTACATGACTACGATTCAACTTCATAAAGCCAATACTCGTAGTCAGTATTGTCTTCAAAAAGTCGTTTTTGATGAATTCGAATATGAAAGTCAATCAATCGAAACTTCAGGCAACGTTTCAACTTCTATTTATTAAACGAACATTGTACCTATTATTTATATTACAGATACGCCTAAAATTGCGATTTACGGTAAAACAAGCATGACGATTACGATACGTTTCAAGCAACTAGGACTCGCTACAATTTTAACATTCTACACTTATGTACAGCTATGATATAACTTACAGATTTATCCGGTAAACTTATGTCAGAATTATGGGAACTGTTCGGTACGCTATCACGGCGTTGTGTATGTTTCTTTGCGAATAAGAACTCCATTTCCGTGAGTAGGTCGAGGGGTAGGGCTGGAGGTGGTTCCCTTGTGGGTGCGTCGTGAGACGGCGACGAATCTGAGGAGTCGGACGAAACTGGCGTTGCTGAACCGCACGAGAATCTGTAAACATTGGACACGTAGCATAGGGTACTCTACTCGATATGACAGAATTCCGTACAATTACCTATTAAATAAAGTAAAATGCTACCATACAGTAAAAACGTGATTTTACCATCTTTAAATGTCTATTTCACTTTATTTTTTAGTATTTGTTGTTACAGTGGTAACATATATGTATACATCATCTGTGAAATTTTCAACGGTCTAGATATCACGGTTCTAAGATATAGCTTGGTGACAGACGGACAGGCGGCGTCTTAGGATAAAAAAACTTCGCGATCGCAATTACTTTTGCACGTCAAATAGTTGTAGCGTGTACTTCATGAATATCTTTTGAATGTCAAATTGAAAGAGTTAGAGATTAATTTTAAAATGAGACAGTAGAGATGATGACTGGGTAAAAAAATAAATTCTATTTAATTCGTCAGTAAACCAGTATAAAAATTTTAGATATGAAGTTTTATTGCTTAAATTTAACAAGAAATATAATAGTCATTAAAGTTGAGTAGTTGGGCGCTCGTCACGTCACAATTGTGTAAAATTGTACAAAGGTGTGACGTCATACGTCGTTTCAACTCAATGTATGTATCAAAAACAAAATAAAAATACGTGTTTAATATTTTTTAAATAATCTATCTGACGGACAGACAAAAAAAAAGTCGTCATATTAATTCCCCGTTCTACTATACAAGAAGCATTTAAAACCACTCTCCAAATTTTAGTATGTTAATCTTTACGACAAATAATGAAATACGTGTTTTTTCTTTTTATGTCGTTTAGAACAAAAATGTTGAGTTATATCGTCACCAAGTTATTTTCAAAAAACATACATTTGTGGACGCTCCCGCTGCCCAGTACGTGCGCTTTACGCGCTACGTTAGTTCCCCCCCCCCCTCCCTTCCCGCAATTCATTGATAGTAATACAAGTACGTTTGCGAGTTAGTAGCAGCTACCTAAAATGTTTTCGTTTTTTTATGCTAGGGCAAATGGTACATAAAGTTGAAACCTTTCCTTCATACTTTTACGGGCTTAGGACCGCCAAATTGCAAAAATTCTATTAGATACCTACTATTACAATAACTATACTGCTTTAAATTTATAAATAAGTAGGTAAGCAAATATCAAGTTACCTAAAATTCTGTTTAGTTAAACCAATAATAAAAAAAGTAGGTACTTAACTAGATATTCTTTGCAATCAGGCGTATTTAAAAAATCATCAACTTTATGTACATAATCAACTAATCACTTTATCCTACCTAATTTAACTATTTACCTACGTATACTTTAATAATTGTTCAAAGTGCATACCGTTCCTCTCCACACAGAGTCTTGCACGTTTTTGCACATTGTCTTTTAATTTGGCGAGCACTACAGTGTCATTTTTCACGTGGTCAAATGCCGCACTAATTTGCACTTTTAAGTCCTCGAGGCTTTGTGCTTCTTCAAAATACACACGTCTTTTGATTTCACCCCACAAATAAAAGTCGCACGGTGTTAGGTCCGGCGATCGAGCAGGCCACACGATGGGGCCTCCGCGTCCAATCCATCGATCACCATATTCTATGGTGAGATGATCTCGGACGGCGGCGGCGTAATGGGGTGGTGCACCGTCCAGTTGAAAATAAAAATCCCGGAAGTAGGCCACGGGCAAGTCCTCCATGAAATCGGCAATGACATGCCGCAACATATCGAGGAAGTTGCCGCCGGTGAGCGGCCCTTCGATGAAGTACGGCCCCAGTATTTTCGTGCCTATAACACCGGCCCACACATTGACACTAAAGCGCACTTGATGGTGGGTTTCCCGAATCATATGCGGATTTCTGAAGGACCACCAGTGTTCGTTATGATGGTTATAAAGCCCCACACGAGTAAACAATGCTTCGTCAGTCCACAAAATGTTGGCATTAGGGTGTGCAATCAGCCATTCACAAAAGGTGCGACGGGGCACATTATCTCCATCGTGTAGAGCTTGAACCTTTTGGAAGTGGTAAGGGTGTAGCCCTGTCACATTCAGCAGCTTCCACACGGCATAGTGGCTTACGTTAAATCGGCGTGCGGCATCTCGTGTACTGGCTCGCGGGTCCCTTTCGAAGAAATCCAAGATTTCATCTTCGATTTCAACTGCAAGTCTTGATCTTCCACCTCCGCGAGCGTGAGCAGGCGTAGTAAATTGACCATAGTCCAATAGCCTTTGGTTCACAGCCAAAAATGTCTCGCGACTAGGTACTGCGGGGTTTATTAATCCCTGATTTTGCAGGGCTGGGATGGATTCTGTTTCGTATAGTCTCCGAGCTGCATTTAAACTTTCACCGCTTAAAATGTAACACCGCACCATTTCGTAATATTCGCGATTGGAATACATTCCGACGCGCGAAGTGTGGGGCTGCGGCGGGTGGCGCGCAACACGGAAGCAAAGGCGGAAGCGCGTGCGTTCAAAGGGATTGTGCGCGGGTGACTGATGTTGCCGACTAAATAAAAAACCGAGCAGATATCGTCGGCGGTGCATGCGCGGCGCATGCGCGGCGCATCCCCTGCGCCCGCGCCCCTTGCTACCCCTGCTCGTTTCGTTCATAACTAATGTGACAATGCGAATGTTATAATTATCTTGTAATTACAAAAAGTTTACACTTCATTTTGAAAATTTTACATACTGTTTTTTTTTCATATATGTGATCTATTAACGATACCTAATGCCTAGAAAAAATTTGGAGAGTCATTTTAAATGCAGGCGGTATAGATCTTGTACTCAAAAACAGCACGCGTAGCATGACAAACTCGAGAAACGCTATGTCTACACCCAAATGTCAGTTTCTCGGGTCAAGAGTGAGATATAGTATGGGTGCACCCGAGAAAAGTGACATTTGAGTGTAGACAAACGACCCGTGCTGGAGATGCATGATCAGGTTATTTCTGAAGTTTATGGAATGTGGAATGAAATTATTACATTACCTGCTATCGTCAGTTGTGTTTATGGATGAAGGTCTCGATCCAGTTCTCGGTATTTTATTTTTCAACCCTTTTACGGCAGATTTCATATTTTTACCGCCTTTTCTGACCTGGTCAAATAGACATTATCAAATTAGTGAGTAATATAATAATTAATTTGTCTTAATATATACCTATATATAAATATCGCGTCATCTTTATGAAACGTAAAATAGAAAATAAAGAAGAAACACAAAAAACTAGAATACTTAACTTATGTATAAAGTAATTATAGAATTTAAATATAGTCGTTATCAAGTGAACTTCAAGGTATCAGGCACACCAATGAGTTTGAGGGTGTTAGGTATGTCAATAAATTGTGACTAATGAGGAAGTATTTAAAAAAAAACTTTAGTTCCCGAAATCAAAGTAGATGTCGCTGCGGTACGTTCTTGATTTCTCCATGACAACCTTTCCGGTTTTCTTTCATGTTTAAATTAATTTTTAAAACATAATAAACAACTCATATTTCATTTGTACTTTTTCGAATTTGTATTAATATCTAAGTTTCGAACTTTTCAAATTTCTGTTTTTTATATGTTAGTTAAAAGGACCGGAAATTACTGTCTTTGGTCCATTCGTTTCCTGCAAAAATCAAGTTTTGCTAGAGTTGCCATCTAGTGGAGGTACTTTTTAGTGTTTTTTTTTTTTTTTCAATACTTCATTAGTGACTTACATATATACCACGAACTTTAATATCACTCACTTTAATAGAATTCGAGATATTTATGATTCTTGAAGTGCCTGCTAACTTAACCCTTAAAGCAACGGCAATTACAAACAAAGGGAGCGGGCAATATACAAAACATTTGTGACTGTAATTGTGATTTTCGGTTTACACATATGTTAACTCAAATATTTCTTCTTTATTATTGTTTAATACTAAAAAACAAAATATTTCATATTAAATGTTCATGGATTCCTGTAATGAATTTTAAACCTTATTTTGCCGCATAAGGTTCGAATGTACTTTTAATGATGTGGTGAGTTACTTGAGTACCATCAAGTAAAGAAGTGTAAATGTAAATTAGTTTTAATCAATCAAATCAAATCAAAATTATTTATTCAGTCTAGGCTGTTACAAGCACTTGTGAAAGTCGCGAGCTACGCCATCGGTTCGTAAATCTACGGCGGGAGACCTTGTACCGAGAAAAACCGGCAAGAAACTGGGCAAGGGCTGCTTTTTTCTCCGTTTTATTTCATACAGAGCGTCAAGATTGAAAAATGACTTCATTAAAATTTGAAGTCACTTTCCATTACAATATTACACAATATAAGAGTAAAACAGTGTTTTCGTCAATCCAATCACATGTGTAGCCAAAGAAGCTCACCGATTAACAATTTAATATAATATATGAAAAATGAGCCATATTTAACTCCAAGCAGTTTTGTCGTTTAAATATTCATTAACAGTATAATATCATTTACTGAGTAGACAATTCTTAATATTGGTTTTAAACTTAGGTAATGGTAAATTTAAAATTTCCATAGGAATTCTGTTATAGTAGTGTACACCTTGACCCATATATGACGATAGAACCTTTAGCCTGCATGACGGCAAAACAAGTTTATCTTTGTTTCTAGTATTAAAATTGTGTACTTGACTATGTTTACAATAATAAGAAAATAATTTTCATGTAAGACAATTTTTGGAACTATAGTTCGTGTTATAGAAGTCACTAATTAGTCACAATTTTTGACATGTAATTCAAACTGATACGAATCGTATTCCTAGTGTGCTTGCTACCCAAACGTCTAGTTAGCAGGCACACTAAGATCTTTCAATATCTCTCAATTTACAGTGTCACTAATTATATGCTATGGATCATTATTTGTCACTATTTACTCAGAATTTATTAAAATACATAAGACCCTCAAAATCGTTAATGTGCCTGCTACCTGACGTTCACGTTATCAAATGTATCCACCACTTTCAACAGAGATTATCTACAAATTTTTACCAGTTCAGTAAAATAATGATGTAAAATAAAAAAAATAACAATTCCGTTAATACCGGGGCACCTACATTTTGGCATTTTTCACGGACATAAATACGCTGTATTTAATTAAGCAATAAAAATCAGTAGGGACAAGACAGTTATTTTTAATATGCGTTTGCATGCAATAAATACTTTTTAAAAGCCACTAAAGAGACCCAGTGCACGAATATAATTTAGATTCAAGACCTCTGATCTCATGAACTTAGTGGAGTGTACGATTGTCTAATATATTACAAAACTCACTTCACCACACATAAAATAATACAACAGGTGAATTTTATAGCACTTAGCCATTGTCTACTGTCTTTTTAATCAGGCGAGAATATCAATCAAAAAAGAGAAAGAGAAGTACAATTGCTATTAGATTATAGTCAATTGCAAATTTATTAAATGTGTGTGATAGTATAACTAAATCACTATATCAATACAAAATGCGTTGCTTCGAGGACCGGCTATCATAGTAAATTATAGTGCTGTCTCAAGCTAGCTCTGTAATTACTGTTGAAGCAATTGATGATACAAAACATAATATTGTGTTCAATATTTTTCATTCATATTTAAAAAAAAACCTGACAAATTTAGGCCACTCTAGTTTCACATAGCTATTGTGTAGCAATGGGGTATAATGAAGAACCGAATAAAAGAAAAATAATTATGATACAATTATTTTTTAAAAAGTAGGTAAAAGATCAGCCTATCTAGTAGTGAACATTAGGATTATTACAGGTGTATTAAGTAAGGTTTGTAAACTGCATGTACGGATGCGGATATATGAAGGCTTACATTCGCAGATGCGTATGTGGATCTTGAAACTTTTAATAAAATTTACATAGGTCATTTTTGCATCTATATTATTTTTAAATAAGAAAGTATCTTTTAATAAAATCTTAGTAATAAAAGTTAACAATAACTATAAATAGTATACATATAGTACGTAATATATACATAGTAAAAAAAAAACCGCTTCTCGCTGTTTGTATGCTGCGATCTGTTAAACTACACAACGAATTTTAATGCGATTTTTATCAATATATAGAGTGGTTTAAGAAGAAGGTCAATATATTTAATGCACGAGCGTATGGGCAAAGCCGCTGGCGGAACGCTAGGACTTTATAGACTGTAAATTTTTAAACAATGCGATATTTTTTCCTATGATTTAGTATAAAAAAACATGCATTATGTCAAAGAACATAATGCATTTTTTTATAATTGTATACATTTATAATTAATACATACTAATAATTTACTAGCATTTTTATTTTGGTAATAGTAAAAAACTGAATGAATATTGGCAAAAATGAGTCGTAAAGCTAAAGGAACAGTAGGGATATCATAGTATAGATTCAATCGATTCTTGTAGGTGAATAGGAGTGAGAAAAACGTAAATATTATATTAACAAATACAATATGGAATTATGTGCACGGATAACGAATATTTTAAGTTCCGTTTTAAGCCCGTTTTGCAATGGTGCTTTAATCAAGCCCACTCTACCTTTCACTCGGAACACTGGTTGGTACTGACGATAATTATCTATTTTGATTTTTCCTCGATAATAAGCTACCAAATATATCAATTCGTTTTTAACCATATAAGATAAGATTATATATTATTTGTTTAATACAGTGTTTTAGTTACGAGGAATAAATAATATACAAGTAATAATGTGCTGAGGATCTAACTCATTTTATTTATTTATAAATATTTATAATACAAGACTAGCAGTTTCTCCATGAGCCTATTTAATACAAAGCAAAAAATGGAGTTCGTCTTTATAATATTAGTATAAAAATCTCCAAAATATTTGCTGCTAAAAGAACGTGCCACTAACTGAAATTTGTTTATATTCACTATTTGTCTAAAAACAAAAAAAAACTTGATTGTTTACTCCATCTTATACAACTTCTTTCGATTTATTAAGGTTCTTAAATAAAAATGTTTTCAAAAAAACCGAGCATGGTTTTCGTTAAGTCCTTAAATAGTTTAATTTCGAATTTAATCAGATTTTATTACCATACGAACTGTAAACCACAGTAATTTGTACGACAACTATTATAATATATAAAATTGCTGCCAATGTTGCTGCCAGCAACAATTAATGTAACAAAGTCGCGGGAAAAAGTAAGTATCATTATATATTTCAAAAAGTCATACAAAAACTTTCAAAAGTTGCTACTCTACAACATACAAAAAAAAATGAAGTAACAATAATTACACTCCACCAAGTTATAAAAGTATCATGACATTTGGACAAATACCATGAGACCACAGAGCTCTCTAGGACTCACCGTTTTGACAGCCGATTGTACTGCTGGGTTTGCCTGTAAATATTAATATTTTAAAGCAAAAGAAAAATCTAAGTACTTACAGCATGCATGCATTGAAGAATTTTCACAAATTAAATCTGTCCCACACATAGAGTAAACGTTTTATAAGATTATAAGCAATGACAGTTTTTGAGCAACAAACCTAAAACCTTAATTCTTAGAAGGAATGGAAAGCAGCCTTCTTATTTATTAAGAATAGAGCAAATAGTTACATCAGAACCAAGTATTATTTCAACTAGTTCTGACATAAGCAAGATTATTAGTTCATAATTATTAGTTTAAAACCAAAAACCCTGAAGTTAAACAAAATATTAGATAATCGTAAAAATATAAGGCATTTTTTCATATTAGATAAATATGTTCGTATTTCTTTATATAATGCATAAATCTGACGGAAGATGCGTCGCGACTCGTCGGTTGTGGAATGACAGAACTTTTTTATTGATGTCGGAACTGTGCACTGGCAATCCCGAAAGTAGACGCAAATCATGGAAAAAACGAATTCCAGTGTCAGTGTCAGATACTAATATATCGTCTTTTATTTGCGAAAGTTAACCAAAGGAACAATAGTGCGACAACAACTTCTTTACTTATTACTTAAATAAGCAACGAAGAATAAACAAGTTCGGACTCAATAGACGTTGGAACAACCGTCATTTAGTATTTGTATGTTAGTTCTAGATTATACTCACGATAGGAAGCTACTTCAAATATGCTTTTTAATAAATTTACACAAATTAGATTCTGTGAATGATTCAGAGGCCAGAATGTTTATACTGGTCTTGATTTTAGCTAAAACTTTTACGTTTGTTTGTAGCTGTTTTACAACATTACTCTTTTTGTGTAGTCTTATGTGACTTTGTGTGAAAACCTAGGTATTTGAAACATTCAGTTCTCAAAAAAATCGAGTCTAATCCGTCGCGTAAAAACTTATAGAGATGTTTGACGAATCATCCGTCAGAATTGCACCGACTAAAGAAACTAATGTCGATGAGGTTTAGGCGCATTATGAATGTAGATTAAAGTCCTTCGTATACCTTATCCTTGACAGTTTTGAAGAAAGCACCACCTTCTTTTTTCACAGTCTTCGCCCAGTCCCTGTATTGTTGTTTTAGTTTTTGACCACTGCCAGTATTCAACTTGTCGGCGTAATTATTGCACTCGACTTCGAATTCATCGTTGAAACCACGCCCAGAGTTGAGGAGGTCCAACCTTTCATCAATGAACTGTAAATGAAATCATACAATGTGTAACTTGTGTGATAAGTTGATAAATAAAATAAAAAAAATATTATCAATATCCTAAGAAACCGAAATAGCGTCGAGACTGAGTTTCTTATTCGTATTTATACATGCATTTCATCACAGCGCAGCCGCCAAATAGATAAATAAATAAATTCTATTTAGTGAGTCCTATTATAGAAAAATATATTTTTTTGCTTCAATTTAACAACACATTGCTTAGATAATAGACATTAAAGTTGAGGTATCGGGGCTCACTGCATCAAAACTATGTATAAAATCTACAAAGGCGTGACGTTTCAACTCAATGTATTGCCGTAATTTATCGATTACACAAATTCGTCGTGCTCGTCTACATCAAGCTTCTATTGTTGCCAAAATTTCATCAAATTAGTTATTTAGTTAGTATTTATCAAAAAATCTAGAAAAATATAGTACCCACAGCCTACACTTCTAAACACATGGTACCAGTGTTCCGCTTGCATATTCTGCGCTATCGCATTAGCCAAAAGGAAACTTGATAAATTAAATAAAAAGAATTTATTTTTGTATTTAAAGAATTTATTTTTAGATTTCGGTGTTCAATACATAGTGTATATACAACATCCTACTAATATTATAAATTAGTTTCTTTATTTGGATATTTGTCCGTCAACCACGCTGAAAGTACTTAACAGATTTTGATGAAATTTGTTATACAAAAAGGGTATTAGCTGACTAATATAATATTTTTATCCCACTAAACATTTCCCTAGGGATCATGCGGGTATATGGTATAGCTTTATGGTATGGAGGAACGAATAGGTATTTAAATTTAAACAGCGAATGGATCAAAAATTTTCACGCTGAGAAAAAAGTTTATGCAATTTTTTCTAAACAATTAACTGTTAAATCTAAAAAGTGCAATATTAAAAAAATATTGAAAGTTTTACCTGTTGAAATATTTGTGACTGGAGTATTTTCCTCAAAAATGGTTGCATAGTTTTCCTAGTTCTAACAAAAGCCTCTGGATTAAATGTAATTAGTTGACCATTTTCAATTCTGAAAAGCATAAACCACCCAATCAATCTACTCAAACAGCCAAAAGAAATATTTTCGATAATGCAAAATTGAATATTTATTATATAATACTTATTAGTCTATTGTGCATTCTATTTTATTGCGCCTGAAAAATTGGTGATTTTTAGGGGTAATTGATTTATTTATGTCGAGAAAATATATACATTCTTACACCCATTTTCACTAATCTAGAACAAGGCTTAGCTAAACTAGGAAACATCTATCTTACGAATCGCTTAATCGCAAATCAATTTAATTCCAAATAAACATTTTTTTTCTTTTATTTCCTGAAATATTTGTGATCTGTCATAATGCATGCAATTTCATCTTAGGCGATTCCTAAGTATTTAGGCGACAGATCTGAGCGACTCCTAAGTTTAGTGAAAACAGGTATTAACACACGCACACAATTATGGTGTAGTTATCCATTTTAATTACAACTCATTTGGGCATTATTTCTATAGGCAAAACTGTCAAGCCCACATAAGGCTCAATGTAAATTTGACAGAACATCTAACCGTATAACATTGGTTGCGTAATGTCAGAACGGACAATGTATAATATGATATACAAACTAACACACTCGACAGATGATCAGTTAATGCGCCGTTGACCTTACGCATCTGTGTATATGTATCTATGTATCTATACTTATACTTTATATATATATGTATACTTTACCCTAAGTATTTTTATGGGTGTCAAACGGTTAGCAAAGTATTCGTATTTTAGAGCAAACAAATGTAACCGGTCGGCTAAAATAGCTAGTCGGGCAACTTTTGGTTAGCAAATATTTCTAAATAAGTCTGCAATTTATGTCATTCTGAGCAGCAATATTTTTTTTATACAGCTAAATGCATAGTCTTTACATAAAAATTGTTACATAGAAAATCATTTTTTTTTTATTGCACGTAACATTAATTAACATTCCAGTGTATTAGTTTAACACATTAATATAAAGCCGTTAAAATATATAGTATAGCTTATTGGAAGTGGTCTCCATCGGCTGCAATATAGTTCTTTAAATGTTGAAGTGAACCAGTAATTAATAAACGCACGCATTCTTTCTATGAGAACATTCTTAATTGCCAATCGAACAGATTATTTTAGGGACCTGAAATTAGTATGGCATTTAGAGCAAGCCTTACTTTCTAAAATTGACCATAAATCATAATACTAAAGCGGATTAAGATCTGGACTACATAACTAATCATTTTCTGTCACAAACAGAGGTGGTTTCATTGTACCTATCAATAGCTCGGTACACAGACATTTGACTAATACCAAGCGTATTTAGAAAATTGCTTCATTTCTACTTTATATAATGCAATCACAGCGATGAGATCCTCTTTATCACCCCATTCCATTTTAATATCACACAATATTTTTAAATGCGTATCCCTAACAAAGATTAATTAATTTATTGTCTCTTTTATTAAGAATATTTAGTAATAACGGGATATTGCGATATAATAATAAACAATTTGGTTTATTTTTATAATTATAATTGAGATTAAATGTGATTTAACCACTAGTCACCGAAAACTCGCATGCTATGGCTATTCGTGTCATGCACTCACTTCCGCTCTGCCTATTTTTAATAAACTCCGTGAATTTAATAATAAGAAAGCAATCCAACTATTTATATTTCTAACCAAAACGGAAATATATTTTCCAATTATTTAATCTTGCTGCCTAATAATTATTTTGCGGCGTGATTGTTCGTTTTGCAGATACATAAAGAGATATGCTGCCTGTTTATCTTGAAATTACTGAACATTATCATGATGAACAAGAATTGCAGCCTAATTTTTATTAATGCTAAAAATTGCATTTGATCTAAAACATAGTACAAGTAAAATAAATTATCCATTTAAATGAAACAAATCAGTTAGTATACTGATACCATTAGTTAACAATGAGAAAATTGTGAGATGATTAAATTATTACAAAGAAATAGGAATTAGGCACCTTGAGGAAATCTATTGCAATAACTGCATAACTAACATATTCAGCAGTTTCCACAACCAGACAGTATCTGCTAGATATATGTGCACTGCTCGCAAATAAGTGCACATGCACAAGCTAGATCAATTCCCGAAACCATCACAAACTATTAAGGTTCAAATAGAATTCAATACCATTTAATGGTCAAATTAAAATGGTAAGTTAGTTTCTGGATTGGAGCCGTGTACATATGGTATCCTTTCTCTTTAGATGATTTGTTTCTCCATGGAGTATCCTCAGTAATAATTAGTGGTGGCTACGACATAAGTCACCACATGTATTTATTTGGGGTAAGTGCACTATATGTAGCAGGTTGAAATGAGCGTGAGAGTTGCTAAATATCGTTGTTAAGCAGTTATTATTACAAAAATACCTATACATACATTTTTTTACATCACATTCAAGTGATGCAACAGTGACATTATTGTACATGAAGTTGTTAATAAAGTTAACGAAAAACAATGCATATCAATTTCATCACAAGAAATTGTTAAGATGTAGATGAAATATCGACAATATTCTAGTTAGCGTGGGAGTCTCTTCGCAGAGAAAGAATAGGCGAAAGGTAACGGCCAAATTCACATTAACTAAAATATACTAACCTGCCTTCATCTTTGCGTAAAATTAAAAAGTCAGATGTGCCATTTGTCATTGTAATGTTTCTGCGTCCAATTACACTGCAGTAAATAATTGTGAATCGTAGTTATTAATAACAACTTTAAAATAGTAAACAAGATCCGATCGTTAAGCAATCTAAATCTAAAGATCACTTATTCTTTGAAAGTGATTCTTGCGTACCTCATGGCAGACGGTTTTAGCAATGTAGGGTAAAATTGCAAATAAACAATATCGTTAAAAGTAAAGACGCGATGTAACCGTCAGGAGAAAATGCCACTTTTCTGATTTGTTTTTTATGAATAAAAATGTCCGTATTCATTTACAGTGATATAATTTGCGCCTTAGGGTTGGTGCAAAACTGACGGAAAATCCGTCGCGTCACTTACCATTAGAATTTTCAAAATATAATATGACATCCAACCTTGCACTCAAGAATCAGTATATCGAAATATTTAAGTAACTGAATATCGCCAATAATGTTGTTTTGAGTCTTTACGGAAATTCGTTAAAGAATAATTTTCAGATTAGAACATTAGCATGTATCTATTGAATGTATAAATATTAATAAAACGTTATACCTTAAATAGATAACATGAAAGTCCGTGAAATTTATTTCTCACTATTCTTATACACTGTAATCACTTATACGACGATAAGTAATTCCGTCATCAGGCACATTAATTTGTTCGACCACTATAGAAAATATCTGAGAAAAATACTCACTTAATAGCATCACGATATCCACCAATTAAACATACTAAAGCTCGTAAAAACGCTCTGGATACAGCATCACCGAGGGCATTTTTATCACTAAGTGATTTTTTTAAAGTTGTTACCTGTAAATATAAATGTACGTTTAGAAATAATTTCAATATTGGATAAACAGTTCAAATAAAAAGGAGGTTTCAGTTCTGTTCTCCCAATGCGATACCAATGATTGGGAAACCTGTGCCTCAAGAATGGAGATATTGAAAGTTGTTATGGTGCTATTAATTTATTTAATAATTTGTACTCACTAAATCAGGAGGAAGACTTTCTAAATCATGGAAAGGAGTCCTTAAATCGTTTGCGTCGACATCTACGATGACAACATCTCCTATTTCGGACATCCTCACCGTCTAAAATTAATTGAAGTTTTACAATTCACTATATTCGTCTGTCATTCTCTTTGTCTTTTAAGCTTTAAACTCCTAAACTATGAAAAGGATTCTTTTTTGTTGTAAAAATAAAATTTCTAAAGATCTATTACCGATTATATCAAAGTAAATTGTAAATAAATATGCAGTAACTGACCTAAAACGTAAATACATATCTCTTTTTATAATTTTAAAAATAGTAAGTTGTTTTTAAACTGTTAGAACTGCATTGTCATATTTGATTTTTGCATTAACAATGCTATACTAGAAATTGCCTAATCATTGAAGAATAGGCTCTGTAGTAGCAAAAAAGTAATAAGAGCTTAGTGGTTAGAGCAGTCGCCCAGCAGGGTATTTCTGCTCATGTTTACGTAATAATTTCACCTCAATAGAATCTCAACGACTTGAATTTCGTCGTTGTATTATTTGCCTGAAGTCCAATAATATATATGTCACCATTTATATGTAAGGAAGACATTGCACTTATATTATTGGACTTTATGTAGATAGTACAATGGTAAAATGCAAATAGTTGATATACTACCGAGATGCAATTATTACGTAAACATTAGCAGAATTGGCCTGCAGATTGAGAAAGATCGTGGGTTCGAATCCCATATCAGAGTACCAGGGACGGAGTGGTTTTTTTTTTACAATTTTCATTAAAAATATTTTTAAACTGCACTTTTATGATGAAGTGGTATATACCTATGAATATATCATATTTTATATTTATGAGATAATCTTAATTGTTTTTTTTTTGTCATATGCTCTTATTTAACTCAACTTTTTAACTTTATTTATACACTTCGTAGTTTTGTCACGTGAGAATCAGCGCTATGCGCACTTTTAACCATAACCTAAAAGATATTTATGTTCGCATTAATAGATTAAAATGAAAAAATTATAGACTGTAAAAAAGAAATACCTCCATTACACTTCTAGGAACTCCAATGAGAAAGGGCATCGGGGCAAGAAGGTAATCGACTAAATGTTTCGGTAATATTGGGATAAATATATGTTGCCATGACATGGGAAACAGAGTAGCGTTAGCAGCCTGTACGCAAGCCGAGAGCCTAGACGGTTTTGAAGCGACAATCGCCACTCGCCGTTCGTGTAATAAAGCCGCCCACAAGCCCGCCATACATTTTGCATCCAATGCACTGAAGTATTCCGTGAGATTGCACTGAAATAATGGAAATTGTCATGATTTCCTAATTCTATTTATTCTACTTTAGAGTCGGTGTGAATCTAATGGAAGATCTAACTTTAACGTTGCGCTAGGAATCACGTGGGCGAAGCCTCTAGCGAAAACATCTTGAATCTCCCGTTAGATATGCACCAACCCTTAGAGGTCCGGCGGTCGCCGCATTATGCTATAGCTATTTAACTGTATTAATAGATAACAGTCTTGTTTTACTGTTATATATAACGATGTTTTACACACTTTGTATATGTAGAGCAATAGAAGAGGCAGCAAGCTTAGACTCTTAAATTTATTTCTACATGATTCATCAGGTAAGATTCCACATATGGCCCTTATGCCTTTTTTTGTGTCACAATGGTCTGTTCCGATCTGTATGTACTATTACCTCATATCATTAAATCGTATCGTAATACGGACTCCACATAAGCGCGACGATTAAACAGCAGTTTTTTTTATTTGGAACTTTTCTAAGGTGACTCAAAGACAAATTTATATACCTTTTAACAAACATTTTCAGCTTGTGGTTTCCAGTTCATGAATTGATCTATTAAAATTCTTAGAAACTTTACATTCGTTACGTCCTTGTTTTTTTTTTAATTATATTTGTCGTGTTTACATTGATTGAATTGGATTAATACTAATTTATCCAAATGATTTATTTATTTATTTTTTAAATTAATGTTTTAATTATTATTATTAAGCCAATAAATTATGAAGTCTTATATTAAATTCGTGATTAAATTCGTGTATTACTTATATCAAATTCGTGATTAGTCAATGTGTTATTTCTCTTTATACTTCCCTGTGGGTTGCCCGTTTTAATTTCACGACTACTGAAAAATGAATTACTATTTTCTTATTTATAACATTATAAAGGGTAACGTATTGTTTCCGATTAATTAGATATCATCGAAACTAACGGTGGGTTACAGCTCTAACATCTATATTTTCCAATAATAAGTTATGTGATACATAGTCAAAAGCTTTGGATAAGTCGAAAAAGAGCCCTGTGGTACTAAAATTATTATTGATATTATTACTCGTAAGTAAGTTAAATGCAGATTTACCACTTTATAATATTATAATTGTTACAAAAACTTGTCAATCTGGAATAGATGCACTTTTCTAAAATTTTTGATAAGATAGCAAGCAGAGTAATTGGGAGATAATTACTAGCTTTATCTTACCACCTTTCTAGTAAAGTTTCAATGAGTCCGGGAAAATGCTAGCTGAAAACGACTTATTATTACGAAGTTAAAACTGGCAAAATTGCATCAATGGAGGCTTTTATTATTTTAGTATTTATTATCATCATATTTTTCAGCATTGGTGTTATTTAGTTAGTTTTTACTCCCTTTTTACAGGTACTAAGAACATTATTAATATTATATAACGATATTATATAACGTGTTGTCGTTGATTCTTACTTGTAAATGGAAAATTTCATTGTCAATAAAATGATTATTAGAAGCATTCGCTGTGTCCACGGAGTTAGTCAATGTTGTATTTTCAACTGTCAATTCAGAGATATTATTATTATTTTTATTTTTTATTGTTTAATAGTGATATCGTAACCTTCCTTTAGTTTTGCTGTTTTTTTTGAGGTCTTAAGTTATCCACCTATAGTTAACATTATCATTTACTGTCTTAAATCTTACTGTGGGGAAACACAAATTATATAACAGACATAATTAAGGTCAAACCTTATGACATCCCCAATGTGTACATTTTTTCACAGTGGTATAAAAAGACAATAGAAAAATCAACAGCAAAAGACAAGAAAAACTTACATTTTCTGGAATACTTGGTAATTTAGTGTCTGGACTCTGACAAGAGAAAACACTGTGACCTGCATTATATGTAACTTTTAATGTGTGACCAGGCATTGGGGGTCTAATTCTACATGCTTCCAAAAATGAGATCAATTCTCCTTTCTCAGTACTATTTAAGAGAACAGCAATACAATTTAAAAGTCTGAAAAACAAAATAAAGTATTGAAAATATCATCAACACAAAACTATGATAGTGGGTGGCCTTTGTGGCAGTAAATGCTATAAAATTCATTTCATATAAAGTTGTTTGGTATAGCATGCATCCAAAACTTATAATTATGCAGGATTCATCTTTATACATTTAAAAGTTGATCATTTCACAGAAAGTTAATCAGAATTGACTTGTGCCACATACTATGTTGTATAAAGTGCTCAGCGATGGCTGTCGCGACTCACTCGCTCAGCTCGCTTTTTGTTGTGGTCACATTTCAAACCTATGCAATTGATCTTTTATTTCTTTGTCATGCTAAACAAAATTATGCAGAATTCGGCCACTGGATAGCCAAAGAAATTCTACCATCTTAATAGTATGTTAGTGTAAATCCAGACACAAACATTCGGTCAATAATTATCAACTGAGAAAATGTTTGAAGGGGATTGTCTACTATGCCAACTGCCAGAAAGGGGGCACAATAACTGATATCTCGCTTTGCAAATTTATAAACATTGTCACATAAATTTCGGTAAGCTACTAAATCATAGAGCAATCGCTAAGCATGAAGATAATAAGAAGTTTAATGGTACTTAACAAGTCGCCATGGGCAATTATAGTGATTATCGCCAAAGCAAATTGTAGGATGAGTGCTTTACTATCTCAAGTTCCTCTGTCATTTAGTTAAAGGTATATGAAGAAAAAGTCGTCAACACCTACTAATGGCACTGCACCAGATACCGTAAAATATTTGATACTGCTATTCCCTGACAAATATTTTAGTTCAATATAGAAATAAGATGAATAGTAGATTTTATTAAATCTAAATTTATATAATATTTATATACATAATAATTATTTACTGTAATTACCAGACTTAAAATTATTTGTTTAATTATTTGTTTTAAAAATGTAGCGATTTATCATAAAAGCAGGTATTTATTAATTCGCATGAGCATAATTTTACAGTTCCACAAAAAAAAAAATCCTTTACAAATTTATTCTTAATTAAAATTTGTATAAAATTTCTCTGCGTCATTGTAATGAATGATTAATACTATTGGTTATCTGTCTTTTCAATAATTATAAATCATGATCAACTTACTTGTAGAATATATCATGCCATGGTAAATGGGATAAAAGAACCAAAGCAGTATTTGCCTTAGGATCAAATCGGCAAAAACAAAATGTATACTTAGAATCCACTGATGTCAAGACAAACGAATAATGCTGAACAAATGAGCTGAAACCGAAATTAGTATTTTTTAAGATAACAACTACACAAACAGATATAAACATTTAACAACAATTATTACCAATTAAACTACAGCTTCATATTTAGTTGTGTAACACTCAAAAAAATATTGCCCACTGGGGGTGCATTAAGGTATGGTTTTTTTATTCTTGGTTAACTCAACCATTTGTTAAAATCTTCAACAAATGGTTAAATATCAGCAAAATATGTTTTTTGATCAATAGTTAGCTTCATCTTGATTAATTGTCAATAGTTTTGATTAATTGTCAGAATTCCAACTATTTGAAGCTAGGTTAAGCAAATGACCAATGGTTAAAAGAACAGATGTACAACTTCGTTGTGTACATACTTGATCCCTGTTCATTGTTTTAGTAACCTACATGATTCACTGTGAATTTAGACATTAGTTATTTTTGGGATTTCGTTTTATGATGCAATTTTATAGAAAAATATTGATTGTCATTTTGGGTTTTGCTATTGAAAATAAATTTTATTTTTATCTTGATCATCCTTAGTATATTTGTACTATATAAAATCATTTGTTTTATTGTTGCCAACGGCATATATCTATGCAAAAAATATGCTTTTAAAAAGTTAAGCCAAAAATGTTATAAATTCAAAAATGTTTTCTGACACTTTTGCTTTCTGACATAATTAAAGAAATTGCATTTTATTTTCTGAGAAATAGCACATAGTGCTCACAACACAACACAATGACCAAATCCATACTGTTTGGTAACTTACAGATTTCTTTTGTCTATTTGATATTTGGAACAAAATCCTAACTTCAAGAATGGTACTCATATATAGTTTGCGCCATTCGTTCAAACCATTAGTGTTGTCAACAAAAAAAAAAGAAAAACTCATTGTACTGGCAACAAATTAGTTCAAAAAACAAAATAGCAGGTTAACAACTGGTTAATGGCAAAATGACATTCGACTAAGGTTCAAAAAACTGAACCTAAATAAAAATTTTGGATTGTAAATGTCAATTCCGGTATGCAATCTTCATTGAAGTATGAAAATTAGATTATTATTTTGTTTGAGATTATATTACACAATAAATTAAAATGAGTTTATTAGGAAAGCAACAAAAAGTTTGTAGCTTAACATAATTTTACCAAAAAATGTTACTAAATAAAATGTACTAATAACTAACTAAGGTTAACCTATAACATGTTCTTGAAACTAATATGCTATCAAAAAATACTTTTATAAATAAAAGTAGACTGTTTTGAAAAACCAAAACAGGCCACTTAAACAGAGTTTTCCATAATATATTAGTATTAAGTGGTAATAGTGGTTTCTGTTTTAACTACAACTGAAGGGCTCACAAATAGTCCTTTGTAATTTCACCACAATGGTTGCTGTTTTGATCAGACCTCCCTTTCATTAAAATTTCAGCCTTCACCATTCTTACACACACTTACTTATATAAGACAACTTAAAAATACAAATATTAATTACTTCTCTATTTGGCAAGGGAATGTGAATTTTGGTATATTTTTCAACTCTTCTTCATTTTTATATATTTCTGGATATTTCCTTATAATAAATGGTTCTTTTGTATGATCACCTGGTGAAACTTCACAAAATAGCTCAAACAGGTAGCGCACAGTGTCTCTGCAAATAAATCAGTGGCTAATAACATAGATTAAAAAATACAATATATCAATATAAAACTTATTTTGGTCAATGAACAGCTCTGAGGTGCAAGCATGTAGTTGGCTGACATAGCTGTGACTGATAAGTTATATAGTGTTTACTTTAGTTTTCTAAAGTAGTTTTATGATACCAAATGTAATTGAATTATTATAATTATCTATGTAATTAAACCACACACATCAAAGTAACATCAAAAATAAAACTTTCATATCTATTAAAAGCAAAGTTATACTTTTTAGTTATTTTCATGTAATATGGTTACTACTAATTAACTAGATTTAGTTAATTACATTGATTTACCATTACTTAAAATTAAAATAGAAAACAGGTAGTATTAAAGTTATCTATGTATATAAAAAAAAACAATGAGTTGAATTAATGATATTAATAAAATAATAATATCTGTACAATATTCTAGAGAATTAATAATTATTTTTATTTTTGTACTATAATTTGTACAAAACAACATATGTATTAAAAATATGAATTAAGTACATTCACTTAAATTTCTTCATTATTGCTCCTTTCTTCTTCTTCTTTTTAATTAATGGCCTTGCCCTTGTGGATTTTGCAGAATCCAGTGTTTCGCTCAGATTACTTCATATTTTAGTATTTTATAAACTCTACTTTTTGTATGTTGGTAGGAAAAGCTCAAGTAAAAATTTTGTTGAAGTTAAATTTTACTTACCTGAACGGGGCTTATGTGACTTAAGTATTACCAATGTTAGGAAATTCTATGATAGACAAATCAAAGATGTATGTTGTTATAATATATAATAACATAAGATGATTACAAAAGGGGAGAAAATATCTTAAGACAGTTTTAAAATTTAAGATTTAGCAGCATCAAGATAATAAAAAATTTATTACACCTACTTGACATTGACAATTTAAATTTTTTGTTGATAAGTATAATGCCAGGTTACAAATGGTTATTCAGTAATATAAAATGTATTATATTATAATTATATTTAAAGATAAATATATATTAACGTTGCTTATTAGTGATTTTAGACCAATATCTTTACACATCACTAATTAAGATTTTAAAAACTTCCAATCAATACACAGTTACATGATAAATCAGTACTTAATAAAAAAATTAGTTATATTATCAAACGTATATAATGATTTGAATGTATCAAATGACTACACAAAATATACAATGATGAAAACATGACAAAGTGATCTAATTTCGTTCTTATTTGAATGATAACTTTGAGGTTAGATGATTTGGCATTTATACTTAAATAAAATTGATGACTTGCATCAAACACAAGTATACACAAAAAACACAAAAATAACATAATCATTATTACAAGAAAATTTGCAATTTTTAATACCTTACTCTGGAACCCATATCTCTACGTGGACTTATTAAAATTTTGATTACATCTTCAGCAAAACTAATTAAAAGTAGCTTATGACGAAAAACACACTTTAGGAAACATCACTAGCCATAGAAGATCATATTTCTGATGAAATGGACATTTTATTATGATTTTACTTAAATACCCTTGGTAGGTATTTCTTTAATTCTTGGGGGTACATTACGAAACACCGAAACACAGAGCAAGAGAACGATACGAAATAGCCACAGACCACTTTAAATAAAAAAAAATGTAAGTAGGGAGGCCACTGATCTATCGGAATATCGGTAAAACGATGTGAAATTTTAATAGAAACTTAAATTTTACTTCCATTTTTAAATTGGTACTTCGTCAATGAATCCTTGAAAATAAAGTGTCAAAAGTATGAAATTCCAACTTTTATCACTGATGTGCCTCGCTGATGAAAGTCTACTCTTTTCTTCTGATTTTAGAAAGAGCTTTCGATAAGCTTAATTTAATTTATGGCATGTATATCTTACGGCATTTGTCTCAATGCTTGTTTTTTCTGGTATTTATATTTTTTATCTAGGTAATATATATACTTTGCTGAAGAAATGTTGGCAACCCTAGACACAGGATCTATAAAAAAAATTAACTATAGAACTAATATGTCATTATCATCTACGCAAGGTTAAACGTCTTCCTTTTCCAGTTTGACGTAAGTATTGTGTTTATTGCACAACAAGACAACGACTTTCTGAAAAATGCCCGTTTCTACAGCCGAATTCAAAACCAATTACAAAATTTTGGATGTGTAACTCAAGAGCGAATTTAGTCAAAACAGAGGAAACAGCAAAAGAAGCTGGCACTAAAAATTATCAAAATTATCAACCGTGGGAGAGCAACACTTCGGCATGAATGGGCCGACCGGAGTAATACCACGGCCTCGTAGAAAACCGACGTGAAGCAACACCTGCGTTGTGTTTCGTCGTGTGAGTGAGGGTACCGGAGGCCCAACCCTCCCTTCCCTCCCTATGATGGCGCAGTTGAAAAGAAGCAATTTATTACCCCTGGAGGGTTCCAACTGCGCTAGTGTTGGGGAATAATTTCTCATTTAACTTATATATATTATAATTATTTATGCCGTTATAAGAAATTCCACTTATTTAAATTTACGTTGCGAATTTCATATTATACTATCTAAGTATTCCAAATATGTTTTTTGAGAAGTGCTTTTGCTTTTCACATTATATTTGCTAATTAATATTACAACTAAATCCTCATTTTCCAGGAATTTAATTTTCTCTTCGAAGTTATCCAATACTGTGTCATAATGTGCTCCTAGTTTGCAGTAATTTATTAGATTTAGTTCTATTTGTCAGTTGTGGCGACTGATACATAGCGACATCTAATTCATCGCAGTAACATCGCCACAACAATCGATAGCGAGAAGACAAGCATCGTCACAGCCATCGATAGCAAGACGAACTGCAAGAAGTTTCAACACCAAGTAACGAGATGGCGCTGTACCAATACGAACATCATAAATTAATAACTACAAGACATTTAGAATAAAGAAACCTACATCACACAGAATAAGTTTAATTACCAATTAAAATAAATAGAACGTCCAACCTACATCGGTTGGACCGCGGTCTCCGGGCTAACAACACCTAGCTCGGAGGGAGACAATTATCCTTTAGTCTCCCTGGCCAGTTGTCTCCGTCACCACAGTAGGGACCAACATTCAACCTTACGGTTCCTAAACAGTTTTAGGGACAATCCTCTTAGCCGTTCCTTTCACGGCTTTGTTGGAAACTTAAATGATTAACACTTTGTAGTATATTTGATAGCCACTCTCCTTACACAAAACCAATTTAAGACTATCGATACGGAAACGCTTGTCAAAATAATCTACGGTGTACAACGATCCCGCAACGTCATCTTAGATGGACACTCATGTTAGCCAATAACAAATTCGAAGTTTGACAGGTATTTGATGTCAACTTTGCCAGTGGCTATGAAAATTAGTTGTCAACAAAGTTACGCAATAGCCATAAATATCCATATTTATTGAAGTATAAACCAGAAAAGTTTATAATATCAATACTTTAAACGTAAATTGAATAGTTTTTTTATAGTATTTGAATCAATAAAATCGTATTTAAATTGTATTAAGTATTCGGTTACTGAATTTTATTTTTATTTTTCTTAACTTAAAAATAAAATGTATCTCTGTTAAAATTTTAAATAACATTATGTTTTAATTTACATTTTAAATATAGCTTTAAAATGTAAATAAAAACATAATGTGTAGTGGCCGAAGTGTATTTCGCAGTCGGTAGCCAAGCATCGCTGCGCGCCTTTTGCCTTGCTTGTAGCCAAGTAGTTTCTTTGAAAACTGTAGAACGTTCTATTGATATTCCATTATAAACAGCAACAAGCTTTTGTGCAAACAAACATTGAATTTTATATGCCATTTTACAATTTAATGAGTTTTAATAAAAACAGATTCGTCCATTTAAAAAAAGAAATATTTGGAGTTGGTTTTCATATAAAAGCCTTTTAGAGTGTTTTAAGAGTAGACCTTCATGTTGAAACACAAATTTTTTGAAAGTATATTCATAACATTTTATAACAAGATAATTTCCAAAAGTCGAAAACAAACTACTTTTGCCGATTTAATTTGATAGTATTACCCGACGAAATTAAGTCACATTCTTCTTCTTCTTAATTAATGACGTTGCTCTTGTAGATTTTGCCAGAATCTAGTGATTAGCTCAGTTTATTTCATATTTTAGTATTTTATAAAATGTACTTTTTTGTATTTTGATAGTAAAAGCCTAAGTTTACCTCCTAGTATATTCTATGGTTTGGAGCTTAGTGGAGAGTGCTGATATTGATATTTCAAAATTGTGAACCATTCTTAAAAACCGAGGTCTTGCCGTTCAGCAGGCCTGTAGCCTGCTATTCATTTTGCGATAATCTTGAAATCGATCTGGATCGTAAATATTTATTAAAGAATGAGAAAGTATTTTAAAAAAAAGAAAGCACTAAAAAAAGCACTCACATTAGGTAATGTAAACTTTATGCATTTCGTTTTATTTGAATTGAGCTTTAAATTATTATTATCAAACCACTGTAGAACATTGTCGAGAGCATTATTTACATCGTCAAAACAATCATTACCCCTCTCAACTTTAAACAGTAAAGAGGTGTCATCTGCAAATAATACTGTCTCATACAAATTCTTCGTAAAGTGAGGAAGATCATTAATATAAATTAGAAAAAGCAATGGTCCTAATACCGATCCCTGAGGTACGCCCATAGTAACTAGTGCCCCTGCAGACTTCGCTTCATTAATTACTACTTTTTGAATTCTAGCAGAAAGATATAATTTTATTAGATTAAGTGAATTTTTCGTCACACCATAATGCTCTAATTTCCCCAACAGTGTTTCATGACTAACGCAGTCGAATGCTTTTGACAGATCGTAAAAAATGCCAATAGCATCTTGTTTATTCTTCCAAGCATCATAGATATGCCTCAGATGTGCAATTCCCGCGTCTGTGGTACATTTATGGCGACTAAATGGCGACTCTAGCAAAAGTTGATTTTTGCAGAAAACGAATGGACCAAAGTTAGTCATTTCCGTTCCTTTTAACTTACATATTGAAAAACTGAAACATTAAATTTTGATCTTGAATTCATAAATATCGATTATTGATTAAATTGATTCGAGATTGGAAATTTAGTTCCTACTTTAAACGGAAGTTTTCATATTACCTCTTATGTTGTTGTGCTCTTTGGAAAAATCAGTGGAGATATACAATACATGACTTATCGTCTGTGCTGATATATGCGAAGTCTCTTCTTCTTGGTCTGTGAAGTATACCTTATGATCTAAAGCAGAAGGCCATGGAAGCCATGGCCAGTAAAATCTTTTTAGAAAAAAATAATAATAAAAATGGTGATCTGTGGTATATCTGGTTTCCATAGTATCTTCTTCTTGGTCTGTGTTTCCATTCGAAACGGGAAATTCATGTAGAGAGATTAAGAAGTTTTAATTCTTACTTGATGAAATATTATTTACAATTTTACATCGTGTAAGGTCATTTACGTGAAGTTGGCAGAATTAAAGTAGAGATAATAAGATTGTTATTTATAGGTTATTATTATTATTTTAACTTCGTGTGTAACCCTGTGGTTTTTTCACATTTCTTAAAAAAGTTATTTCTCTATTGGATGCCCACATATTTCTAGTTTTCTTAAAGTAGTTTCGAAACATTTCAAGAGGTGAGAGTTGCTTAGGACTTGTTGAAGTACGATATATCATGCTGCTGAGTGATATAATTGATTATCTGTTCAAAATACACGGTTGTATTCAAGTTTTATGGACTTACACGTTCAAACGTTTTGTGAATTAATGTACAAGTAACGTGTGTAGTATGTATTTTACTATAACCCTTCAAGAATAGGAGATATTAGTATCAGTTTTTTTTCATCATTCAGTTAATTATTACTTAGGTTCACTTATGCTATTTTCTTGGCTTCATTATAATAATTATCATGTTTGTCATAATGAACCCGGTTCATTTTTCAGCAGTCAATGTTGGACTTCAAAATGAAGATAAACAAAAAACTTTTGCCAATTAAAGGCCATTATTTTTTTTTCAATGCTGGTAAGTGCCTTATTAGCTTGATCTGCATTAGCTTCTCAAATAATAGACTATTCTTAATGAATTCTCAACTTTTTTTGCATATGGTGATCATTATAACCAGTGAAACATTTTTTTGTGTTTTAGGGACTGCACCATTAGTTCCATATTTGAGTACTTATGCTAGACAATTGGGCTTCTCTTCAGGGACTGTTGGTCTCATATACACAGTACTTCCAATATTTGGTCTGATTGCCAAACCTTTATTTGGTGTGATTGCTGACAGGTAATTATAAAGCTGACCCCCCATTATGAACAGTTTCATAAAAATAATTTCAGCACATGTAAATCTTGTATGACATGAAATCAACATTATAACTCAACCAACCAAGCCAACATATGATCTGAATCAAAGTTTAATTTTATTTAGCATCACTCTGTGCAAATGCTTTAGCTACACAAATTTTGCATACACTGTAAAATTAGCTGGGTGACATCAATTTTACATAAGTGAATTTAATGCTAGCATTGTGATTCTAGATATTTATCAGTTGCTAGTGAAAATTATAAATTATTCAGTAAAACTAATATTAAACCACTAATTTTGAAATATGAATTCAACTGAAGATTAAAAGTAGTTACAGAAATATATTTCTGTTTCAGGATATTGAGAATCTCTTTATTACATATGAAATATCTTTATATTTAGTGGTTACTCTTTATCTTTTCATTTTCAATTTTTTCATCTTAGATTGTATTAATATATTTATACTTTGTTTGTTATTCCTTATCTAATTATCTCAACTTTATCTATAACCGGACTTTAACGTCCTTGGCATCATAAAATTTATAAGCATATTGCATGTAGGTAACCTAAATTATTATCAGTCAAATGCTTGCTTATCATTTACTAGTAGTAATTTATTTTATCTAGTTCTTGCATTCACTATTTTATTGATGTTCACTTGATATTTAAATGATGTTTTTAGGTTTAAGAAGCAAAAACTAATTTTTATACTATTTCAATTAGTGACTATAGTAAGTTTTTCTGCAATTTATATCATACCCCGAAATGAAAGCACTTTGACTGTGCAGCTAGACTGTGGTCATCAAGTTACTGAATTAAGAAGTTGCTATAAGAATGCTGAGTCAATAGATCAGTGTAAAATCAACTCTTTAGGAAGTCTAAATAGAAGTAGTTTCTGTCAAGTAAGTATTAAGGAATTATGACAATTATAGCAAATAATATTTTAAGAACAAACTTAAAAGGGTTTCTTAAAAAAATTTTTTTTTCTCTCACATAATGCACACTTTTAATTTAAAGTCTTTACTATTTAGATGAACTGTGATATGTCATCTCCAAAAATGTGGCAAACTGTTTGTGAACACTGGCACATACCCAAGTATTGCTATAGTGAAACAAAAAGTATCAGTTACTTAGCACAAATCAGCAAAACTTCTATTAAAAATGATAGCTGTGCTTATATTTCGGCCTCCAACATATCGCTTGATGGTAAGTGACAGATTTTGTTTTTATATTTCAAACTAGGTACCCCAGTAAACATTATTTTGCCATAAAATTTGGGGTGGACAGCTCTCACCATTGTGGGGTATAAATATATAAAAACAACGTATTCAGACCTAAAGAATGAGAATAGCTATTTCGAAAGAGAGTGGTACCTAAAACTGTGAGACAAGAATTTTATATGTTAGATTATCAGTTTAGTTAGTTTATGTTGAAATTAGTGTTTGTTTCTTCACCATACCTAAGATTAAATGGTTATTATAGGTGCAGTGCATACATTGTCTTGTCAGCATTGACCCAAATTAGTTCAGCCCTCACTGTATTCACTAAATATCATAATTCCAGTTCACAATCAATTGTCAAGAATGCCACGCATACTCATACATTCATAGGTTGCTTAAAATAATTTCGTTAGTTGTTTCCAAATATACCACATCATTTCAATAAATCCCGACAACGGTAATTCAGTTTTATTTGGCATAAGTTACATGTATGCCCTATATCATCGTTCTTCAGATATGTATTGCCGTGCTCATGACCATAATATTATCATACAAGTTTTTGTTTCAGGTTATAATTACATTCCGCATTGTCACATTGGTGATGGATATGTAGATGTAAATGAGCCCTGTAAATTAAATTGCACAAATGAAAAAATTTCAAGTGTCTTAAATGGACAAGAAGTGAATATGACTTGTTTGGATAATTATATGAATTATAGGTTATGTTCAAATAATACAAGTAGTTTACTGGAATTGCAAAATATAACCCAACTGGATCAATGTTCTGTGAGTAGTTGAAAAAATAATTATATTATAGAAAAATATTAAAAATTCAACCACAAAATTCAGTCTAATATAAGAACAGTTAATGCTATTGCGATAGAAATTTACATTTTGACAACCAGATAGTAATGAGCCCCTCACTCGCAAGGTGGTTCGTTTGAGGTCCTCATTTCTACAAAATGAGGGAACACTCGTTTTTCAATTATGAACAACCTCATTTAGCTCCTCACTTTTTGAGGATTCAAGCACGAGGAGCGAGCACAGATAATTCATAAGAATGCTTTCCAATTGGAGGTTGTGTAATTAGTAACTAATGGATCAATTCATCAAAGATCAATTCATTGTTGATATCTTGCAGGCATTTTGTAAGCTCGACCGATCCACACCTTGGAGACTTATGGAAATATGTGAGGGATGGGGTGCAGATGCTGCTGCATCGTGTCAACCCAAAACTACTATTGGAGAAGGATTCCCTTCAAATTTATCATTTGTAGGAAAAATTGAATTAGCTTCAACAATCACAGAACACAATTGTGTTTACATAAGGCTTCATCATATTGAACTACCAGATGGTAATTATAATATGCATGTCTTGTTACCGTAATTAAACCAAGTATATTAGGTGTTTTTTTGAATCGAAAGTTTATTAAACATGATGTTAAATGTAATGTTCAGCAATAAATTCAATTTAAAAAATAATATTTAACTGACTTCAAAGTAATAAACGCGCAGGTTACATGTTTCTATGGCGATGTATTTTTTTTTAAAACATAATATGCTTTTCATAATTTCGCATTATTTATCACGTTTTAAAAGTTAGATGACAGATCTGCATTTTGAGAAAAGTTTTTTGTTGTTATATTATTTTATAATTTTACTCTTTATTTATACAGGGTCTACCCATTATCCAAATTGTATAACGAAAGCTCAGTACCAGTTGGAGTCATCACTTTTCCACACATCATGTAAAATATCTTGCGACAATACAGTAGTGAGTAAAATAAAACTTATGGATAACTTCAATATTTGCAGAGAAGCGAAGAATAGATTTTGAATTTAACAGTCAATATATGACTTTTTTAATTTGGTTGACAGATTCTGAATTATAATTGGAGTGATTACTGTGAGCTGCTCGTCTGTCTGTTTGTTCGCAATAAATTAAAAAACTACTGGACTTATTTTCTCACTGTTTTCTACAGATTGAGTAATCACTATCTGTTGAAAACAGCTAAAGGTTTTAGTGTGTAATACTTTAGGTTTTATATAAATTTGCTAAAACACGACGGTATTACTTTGGGAGTTTTCATCGAAAATGTTGCGAAAACCTTTTCAGTTATAACAAAACCATGTATTGGTGTGATTGTTTGCTAATACATATCAATACCTGTTTTTGTTTAAGGTTAATGAAGTATTTCAAGCTGCTTCGGAAAGTCATAATGATGCAACAACACAGTACACGAAACAGTTTTGGTTGTTTTTTATGCTTATGATAATTAGTTGGGTTGGCCAAGCAGTCGTGGTGACGTTTGCGGATGCTATATGCTTTAATCTTTTAGGTAAATGTATTTTCTAGCTGTAATTAAATTTATTTTTAAATAACTGCCCTAGCATTTGCTTGTAGTTTATTTGAAAATTATCGCTTATCATCTCTGAAGTGTCGAATATTAAAAATCAATAATTTGGTTAAGCATTATAGATATAGGTATATGTGTCATTATCATTATACTTTATATATGTATTTATTATTAATATATTACTCCGTAAGCAGCGTACTTATTGTAACATTACTGTAAGTGTAAGCGATGCATGTTTTATGTATGTAAGTATATATATGTATGTATATATATATATTTCTTACTTTTATGCCAAATCTATAAGCGAAGACCTGTAATTGGCTATCTGTTTTTGGAATGAAATTTTAATTTGTATTGTTAGCTGTTGGTCATCCAAGAGAGTAAATAAATAAATAAATAAATAGATATTATGTATTGATGTTTATTTGGTTTTACAGTAATTGAAAACGTGATTATTTATTTAAAAATATTTATGACGTATAATAGTGCGCCCTATCTATGTCATCGTTAGTTGATTTAGCTTCGTTTTCTATTGACGATGTGCCTTAAACGGTAATCTTTGTATTACAGGTGACAAAACTGCTCATTACGGCAAGCAGAGGTTATGGGGTTCTGTTGGTTGGGGCATATTCTCTCTCCTTACTGGTGCATTAATAGATCTCTTTAGCGATGGTGCTTATAAAGATTACACGATTGCATTTATATTTATGTTCGTCTTTCTAATTGGAGATGTAGTTGTGTCATGCTACCTCAAAGTAAGTAATGATTTCTCTTATGTTTAAAAGGGGATTGCTTTTATTCTAATGTTAATTATAATGTTTCTTTATACGTATTTACCGCTGGTTTCATGTCATATATTTCGACCGTATTAACTGATAATGATCTAAATATCTTCCTTTACCTACCGTCTAAGTTTAGCATTATTATAGTGTAAAATATTTATTACTTGATAGCATTAAATAGTTTTGTTTTATCTAATTATTTATATTTTATTAGAAAATCGAAACAGTTCAATGGACACCGAAATATGGAACTGTTAGGCGTCAATCTATCCATGTTAATTCCCATTCTTTGCTCTATCACCATCACCACCACCAGCCCTTTTACGTCCCCACTGCAGGGGCTCAGGCCTTCCTTATGGATGGTTAAGGAGGATGGGCCATGACCCTCCACGCTGGCCCAATGCGGATTGGAGGGTATTAACGACTGCAAATGCAGCCGGGACCAACGGCTTAACGTGCCTTCCGAAGCACGGAGTAGCTCGAGATAATAATTTTTGGTCACCCATCCCGTGACCGACCCTTGCGAATGTTGCTTAACGATTACGATCGCGGGCCGCGGCGCTTATCCACTACGCCACCGAGCTACTATTACATCTTTGCTCTTTATTTATTCCATATTAACCATTGAGATAAAGAAGCGGACCGACCATACCTACGAAAAAAGCATATATGCCTAAACTTGAAATGCAAATTTTCCGATGATCGACTGTCACAGGGCGCGACACATGATATCGATATTTGTATCGACATTGAAGTCATATTGAATATTATTAAATAATGTAATGTAATGTAATGACGTTATGTAAAAAATTTGGTACTGTCAAACTAGTGCCAACTTTGTTTACTAAACTTCAGTAGTTGAAAAGAGACATCTGATGTTTATGGATTTACATCAGAGATTGATTTTTATATAGATGGATAGATGATAATAATTTAACTATTAATGGATATCTGCCAGTTGCACAAACGGCCATTAAAATTGTCAGTCTTTCTTTAAAGCAATAAGTCGTATGAAAGCTTGGTATACCATTTCATAAACTTTAAAGTGTAATAATTTGAAATTCATTGGGTTGGTCGCCCTCCGTACCGAATTCCGAACCTTTCTTCCTACTTAAGGGTTCTTCGTAGCGGTATCAGGTAGGCCAATTACGCTTTGACTTCAACCCTGGTGGCAGATGATAGTGATTGTAGAGCCCTGACTTGAAGAATAAGAAATTTTAAAACCAAACCACTACGGTAAAAAATATGGGTATCAAAACAATACGTTTGACGACTTGTTTTATTGGCTTTAGAACATTAACTAATTTGTAAAAATATATATATATATAATATATGGTACTCATAAATCCTTTTTTTTTTCAGATCGAAAGCACTAAAATGTCTATGAGCATTTTAGCGGATGTCGGTACTCTATTATCGTCTGTACCTACTGTAGTGTTTATGGTATGGACAGTTGCCGTAGGAATATGTACGGGACTCATTTGGCAGTTTTTGTTTTGGCATCTTGAAGACATCGCAGCTACTACATGCGATGGCTCTGAATACATAAAAACCCTTCAAGGGCTAGTCAGTGCTATTCAAACTTTTGGAGGCGAGATACCATTTCTCTTTGTCTCAGGTGAAATATTTTCCTGTCAACGTATTTTTTTCTCTATAAAGTGTAACTAGTGGTTAATCTTATACGTAAGATTTTTTATCATACAAATTGTTTATGATACTCATTCTAGGATAGAAATTGTGTTATTAGGAAAAATATTAACATTTCTTTCATTTAATTTTTACATTAAAATATACTTATAAAAGAAATTTCGTTAATATAATTAATCTCTTTTTTATAGGGTACATTCTCCGGAAGGTTGGACATATCAACATGATGTCATTGGTATTGTTTGCTTTCGGGGTCCGATTTATTCTTTATTCTCTACTCACTAATGCATGGTGGGTTCTGCCGATCGAATTATTCCAGGGTATCACTTTTGGAATGTTTTACCCTACCATGACGTCATATGCCAATGTGGCGTCCCCACCAGGAACTGAAACTACGGTTCAGGTATGTCAACTTAATTGCTGTTTTATACATCGTTATTTATAACAAACCAGTATTATATGTTTTCGTGATTACAAATTTTGAGTTTGTTTTTAATAACATTGCATTAAGGCACCATATCATATCTTACCTCTATTGCCGCCGGTTTCAAGGTTTCGCCATCTCTGTGATCACGGGTTCGATTCCCGTTCGGATCGATGTAGAAAAATGGACCTTGCTATAAAATTGAATTTCTTAGTAGATTTATCGCATCATATTAGATATTTATGTAAATTGCTAATATGCTTATCCGATAGAAATCCATTAGAAAATAGGGTTAAGATGTCACATCGTTATGATATCCACTCAAGTATGATTTATGACCTTCTTTCTAAACAAATTACATTAAAACGATTCCCATTAGCGTGAACAGTTTTCCGGTATGAGTTCTAGATAAGTTTTGGTTTTGGAAATCAGAATATTATTTTTATCTCTACTAATATTATAAAGAGGAAAGGTTTGATTGTTCATTTGTTTATTTGCAACTAATAGGCTCCGAAACTACTGAACTGATTTAAAAATTCTTTCACCTACGGGAAGCTCATCATAGGCGGTGAACATAGGCTATATTTTATTTCGAAAAACAGGAAAATGGGAGTGGAACTGTTGAATTCAAACGTTTCCATAGTAACCATTGTTAACTATTCAATTTGCCATTGTAATTATATCCGTGTCATGTATTCAATCGATATTCAAATAAACGCGGGTCAAGTCGCTGGCGGATAGTGTGCGCGGAAGTGCTAGTCATTGCCTTAGGTATGCGGGCGGTGAGACGGGGAGGGCGCGATTGACAAGACGCACATGAGGTATTTAAGGACAGATAAATCTCAGGATAACATCTTAGAATCTTTCTTAGTTAATGTAATGGCGCTATTTATAATGTAATATTTCTCTCTATTTCCTAGTTTATAAGCAAATTACCATTCCTCAATAAACAAACCAATTTTCAATAAACAAAAAAATATTTTCATTATCATTGTTATAATACAAAATAAATCGATATCTTCTTCTTCATTACTAGTCATGTTTTCAATTTCCATATTATCCTCAGAATATTTTCTCAATTTTTTTTGTGCGTGGTCGTCGCACTTTTGTTATTTTTGGGGAGATTCACTCCATACAGAAAACAATTTTGTAATTATTGGAATTTTGTCGTCCAATGACGAATTTATATAGTATGAAGTAAAATTTTTCTTTATATCGGCCCACTCTAGCTCAATGAGATTGAGATCGGGATGATGCGGCGGAAGGCGAAGAACGATATGACCTGCAGCCTTTAAAATTTGGTCAATGGTATAATTTTTTCAGGCTGAGTTGTTTTTATCAGAGAAAGGGCTTAGTATTTTCTGGTGTAAAGTCAACATTATGTTCGCGTAACCAATCTTGCATGACTCTTTAAACTTGACATTGTAGGTATCTTCTGTACGCAATGGTAGAAGGCATTGTCCATCACGACCACTGAATTAGGTGCTAATTTATTTTTCAATTTGTGATTAACAGTTATGAAAATTTGAGGCACTTATATCCCCATGGTAATTCCCGCATTTCGAATCTGATTTGAAAATAGTTAAAGCACCGTCAACTAATCCGTCTTGACTGCCACCATGGACAATCACTATACGACGCCCTTTGGACTGCCAACACATTTTGGAGTTGTGATATTGGACACTGTAAATAACATTTTTCACTTGTTGTGTAATTGGCGGACCCATCTTAAGATATTTTATCTCTAGTATATTTCGAACAAAGTGGCACAAACAACTGAATCGTGTAATCGTCTCGACGGCGGACGGCAGACTGAGTCAGCTTGACGTTCATTTACCTACCCCGTCCAGCCGCTCACATACCTCACTTCCGCGCACTAGCGGCGACTAGCACTTCCGCGCACACTATAGTAGCATATATTATGGGAACGTGACATTCTAGATTTTATTTAATAATAATGCATGTTTCTTTTGGTGCTAGTATTGGATTTAGATATTTTCAAAAGGACAAAAAAACGATTGGGGTTAGGGTCGCTCAAATATTTTCTTTATTAATATTTTTTACATCCATTGGCTCACGGTTTCAAGAAGTTTTTTTAAGGTCCCGGGTTCGAGTCCCGGGGAGATTATAGAAAACGTTTTTTTTATCGTCTCGACGAATATGGGTACTTCCGTAACTTCAGATTTCCATAACACGAGTTCTTTAGCTAATTATGGGGTCCGCGTCGATTAGTTACGTGATTTTCATCCATATAAATTAATAACCTCTATTTTACTCCCTTAGGGGTAGAATTTGTACAAAATGATATTTTTTCAACAAATAGTAGCTCAAAAATAAAATTTCAAATTCCATACATAGGTACATTAAAATCCATATTTTACTTCTTTAATGATATAATTTCTACAATCTCTGTTTTTTATTTCGTAAATTTTAACCAATAGCTCAAGAATAAAGTATCATAATTTCTTACTTCAAAACTGACGGAGTTCTATGCGAACTTATAAACCTTATTTTATAGCCCCTTAAGGGTTGAATTTCAAAATATCCTTATATTGAAAATGACTACTACACGGAATAAACTGCTGACCAAAGATAATCGGTCCAACTTTCAAGGTATTCCAACACCACTGAAATTACTTTCTGACATAATGTCTGAATGAGCCCTTATTAGATTAGTGCTTCGTTCATTTATTAACCAAAGTTTCGCGTTGAAGTAAATTTACACTGAGACTGCACTTAGTCAAAATTCATATTATTAAACAGAGATTTATTAACAGTTAACCAAGTACGAGGTTGTATGGGAGTAATTCTCTGTATAATAAAAATTTGGATTATTATTAAAATTGCAATTTTAGCGTAAATATACTCGACGCTAAACCTTCTTTATTAATAACACTATTATTGTTTACCAGGGCTTGGTGGGTGCTATTTTTGAAGGCGTTGGTACTTCACTTGGTAGCTTCGTCGGAGGCCGTCTGTACCAGTCGTATGGTGGCAGGAACACATTTCAATGGTTCGGTATAGGCTCACTCGTCGTTTGCGTGATACATGTATTTGCTCAATATTTATTAAGAAGGAACCCGGCCCATGTTGGATTTAGACAAGGTAAACATAGTAATAATGAATAAATGTTTATGTATATAAAAATATATGATTTATATTTTTATTCATAATTTAGTATTTATGGCGTCGGGTAGTTATATGGATTTTATGAATACGGATGACTACTAATTGTTGTTTGTTTGCCCGACAGGTAGATTAATGAAGAATATTAAATACGTATTTTTTCTGTAATTAATAAATTACGGCGATACATTGAATTGAACTTTCGCATGACGTCACGCTTTTGTACATTTTCTACAAAACTGTGACGTAGTGAGCCCTCAATCCTCAACTTTGATGCCTATCATCTAAGCCATTTCTTGTTTAAGTAGAAACCAAAAAATGCGTATCTCATATTTTTCTATTATCTGTCTGACTTACGGACTAAATAGTTCTTTTTTACCCAGTCGTCATCCCTTTTATGAAGAATGAATACGTAATGTTTTTTATATTTAAAACTATTTTCGGTTGTTTATCTGAATGCCATTATTTGTTATATTGAGATTTATAATTATTTTTACAATAGATAGTTAGCCGTCCAGTTGAACGGCAGATTTAACCAGTTGGATGAGTAATAAATAATGTGATATTAGTTCTGTGGTGTGAATTTGTTGGTTTTGCCTTTAGAGTAGGCGTTAGGGATAGATACAAATTTATAAATAGAACACTCATGAGTTGATCATGTATTACCATAGTTTTTGACGAACGAGTTATTATATAAATATTTATGAAGATTCTGTGTCATTGTTTAGTGGGAAATATATAAATTATATGACTACATTACTATTGGATTGTAATTGTGTATGCCTACGACAGTATATGTATATATTGTATTTAATCTGATGCGCCAGCTTCCTGTACAAACATTTGAACCTTATACTTCTCATAGCTCGAAAAAAAAAATGAAAATTATGGATGTGATGGATACCGATTATGGTAAATTATGTTATGGATACCGATTTTGAGAGTTTTAAACTAGTTACGATATATTTTAAAGAAATACAGATAAAGCCGTGAAATAGATATGAGCTATTAGAAATAGATATACCTAGGAATATAATTATATGCCATAAGGTATATACATGACATTTACATTGCTATCTTATCTTGTAATACTAATTTTGTTTAATAGTTTTAACTCTACCACAGAATACAAACCATAGAATCTATACTTACCTCGTTTTGTGTAAAAATAATTTTTAAAATCTAGTCCCGATAAGTTTAATTGTAAAATTAATATCGGCCGTTACTTTCTTATATATAAAAAAAGAATTAAAGATAGAAAATAAAAATCAAATCTAATGTTTTTGAGTTATGTGATTCAGTGGTCTGAAAAAAATAACCTTGAATTTTATTAAATTTCTAACCTATATCGTAAACATGCATTGACAGTAATAAATCTTAAAGGAAGTTTAGTTAAGTCCGTATGTCAAAAAATTTTATATCCTCCAATATCATTTTATCAAAATACAATCTTTATCATAAAACTTTAGAATACCTAGACCCTCGTCGCCTACATTCCTACAATTATCACTAAACATAATCAAATAATAAATATAATGTTATATCACTCAAGTTTGACTATTGTAATTGTATTATAATAATATTTCCAGTAAGATAGTAATAAATAATCAGTAGTTCCTTAGGTTTATAATTATATTACGGCTATTTCTTATCTTACTGCGACATTCGACATTCTAAATGGTTGGCATGGCCAGAATTTATATTTTTTATATTATAAATGTTATATTCAAAATACAAATAACTTTATCGTTACAAAACAAAACAACGTAACGTACCATGACCGTAATAGCAACGTGTCAAGCAAAAATATTAATGGTGTTGTGATCTTTGTTGTCTCAAATACTCGATAAAAATAAAATGAGAACTTGTACAGTAATCGTAATGATTTGCGAGTGGTCTATAAATTAAAAATAGTATTTGTCACGTATGTCGCCATTTTCTGCTCCTGTTTATCTCGTTCACGGGGATAATGATATATATGGGGACAAGCTGTTGTCATGAGGCTCAGCCTTATTATTATCATCACCAGTCTATTAATATCCCCACTGCTATGGCTCAAGCCTTCCCTATGGATGGTATTGAATCAAATCGAACAGGGAGAATAAGCCATGACCTAACACGCGAGCCGAGTGCGGGTTGGTGGGTGTTAACGTCTGGAGACGCAGCTGGGACCAGCGGCTTATCATGCCTTCCGAAGCACGGACGAGCTCGTTAAAATATAAACAGAATAAAAATTTCAGGCCGCTTCATCTATTACAAAATTTCCTTATTTTGAGAGTATCTATGATTGTTAGTGAAGTTTATTTGCAATTGAATGAGTGATAAAAAGGTTTAATTATTTACTATTGACTTGTAATTCTTTTGTTGCATGATCTGTAATCCCTCCAGGTACTATACGGACATAGCACACGTTTGCTCCGGTGTAGTGGGCATAGAGAGTTATTACTTGATACGTTCATAGAACGGTTATGGTATTGCACTACGTAAAGTACTAGAAGAACCTTATAAGGAATCTTTATACCATATTTAAATAAATTCATATGGATGAAGATCGATTAAGTTATAATTAGAGATGGTTTACCATTTAAAATATTTACATGGTTCAAATTTATAATTCTCTTTGTATTGAAACACATCGTTAATTTTGTCAAGTGCAAATAAAAGTTTCTAATCAATAAGAATAAATTTTGTATATCGACATACATTTAATGAATTTGTGGTAAAGTGGGTAAAGCTTAGTGCAAATCTTTCGAAAGATCCATCGACCATCTCGCAGAAGTCTTATTGCTTTAGTAAACGTCGGATCATCCGTCGAGTGTATAAGGTTGAATGTCATTTCATTTATTTTTCAGTTCTAACGTTCGACTATCTCCCATCACCTATCATTAGATGTGTACCTTGTGCTCATTACTAGTAATTATCTAAATTCCTTAAAACATGAGCCTCGACACCACATCTCGGCATTGACTTAAATGTAAACTAGTGATGCGACTCGAGTAGGATTTTGTGGCAAGAATCACTCCAGCTAATTAACTATCTCACTCGAGTCATAATAAGAGTTTAAAAAAATCAAACGTGCTACTCCAGTGAGATTTCTCTTAGTAATATTTAACAAATACATACATAACATAAATACAATACACATTAAAATAGTTTTGACATATTATTTATTTATGTAATCAACAATATAAAAAAAATATGCGGCATAGATTAATAAATTTCAGTAGCGAAGTGACATCTCAACAAAGTGGCAAATCAACTCGATGCGCCGAGTCGACTCGATAACTCGAGTTTCCTCGAGTATGAGTTTGACTTAATCACTGACTCGAGTAAAAACAGGACTCGAGTCTCATCACTAATGTAAACTGATGATAATGAGGAAGTATTTAAAAAAAACATTAGTTCCCGAAATCAAACTAGATGTCGCCACGGTACTTTTTTTTAATTTCTTTATGACAACCCTTCCAGTTTTCTTCCATGTATAAAGTAAATTAGTTTTCAAAACTTAATAAACAACTCATATTCTATTTGTACTTTTTCATATTTGTATTGATATCTTAGTTTCGAACTTTGCAAATTTCAGTTTTTTTAATATGTTAGCTAAAAGGAATGGGAAATACTGTCTTCGGTTCATTAGTTTCCTGCAAAAATTAACTTTTGCTAGAGTCGCCATCTAGTGGAGGTGCTTTTTCAGTGTTTTATTTTTTTAAATACTTCCTCATTAATCGCTGTGATGTTGTGTTAACGCAACACATCGCTTACTCCTTCTTAGGAAGCGAGACTGCTACAGACGAATGGTTTCGTACGTACGCGCTCGTATTGTCATAAGTTTAGTTCAGAACTACATGTCCAGTAATATAAGAAGCCTTTGCCTCTTGTTAGCAATTACTATAGTTAGACGTGACGCTAGTATCCTAAATAATTTAGCTACCTGGGTAGTGGTTTAATCCTAGATTAAAAGTTAGTCCTCGTTTTATTTATTTTAAATGAATAGCTTATCTCTTGGTATTTCTTATATGGTTTGTTGTTTTATCTTGAACAAAAATAAACTATTATCTCGAATTAAAAAAGTTCTCTAAGAATTTGGATTTGTAAAAGTATTTTTTAATATTAAAAAACATATAGTTTTATCGACCACATTTAGAAAACTACATGACTATGTATAAAACATTAGTATCATGATAGCCAATATGCATTTATTGAATTACACTAGGGTTGAATATGGCGATATGGAAGATGTTTTTTTATTATTATTTAATTTTATTATACACTAGTTTCCATAATGAGGCCAGTAATATAAGAAGCCTTTGCTTCTTGTTAGCAATTACTATAGTTAGACGCGACGCCAGTATCCTAAATAATTTAGCTACCTGGGTAGTGGTTTAATCCTGGATTAAAAGTTAGTTCCCGTTTTATTTATTTTAAATGAATAGCTTATCTCTTGGCATTTCTTATATGGTTTGTTGTTTTATCTCAAACAAAAATAAACTATTATCTTGAATTAAAAAAAGTACTCTAAGAATTTGGATTTGTAAAAGTATCTTTTAATATTATAACATATAGTTTTATCGACCACTTTTATAAAACTACATAACTATGTATAAAACATTAGTATCATGATAGCAATTATGCATTTATTGAATTACGGTAGGGCTGAATATGGCGATATGGAAGATGTTTTTTATTATTATTTAATTTTATTATACATTAGTTTCCATAATGATGTATTTCAAAATTGTTAAAAGTAGTTCTAAGTATATACACGAAACTGATATGTAGTATAGATTTTTTTTGTGTATAAAACGGTAATTTCGTACATTATACAGAGAAAAGATATATATGTATACAATTTGAGATAAACTAAGCGCATTTATTTTATAATTTAATAGAAAAATATATTGTAAAACAGTTTAACTAAATTATTTTAAAATAAATAGTAATAATACATTAAATCGAAACTCGAATACTTTCTACAAAAAAATAACAAAGCGTTTTTAAAACGTCAAAATCTAATTTATAAAAGAAAAATAGTTCAAAGAATTGTGATGTTAAATTAAGCTATTGTTAGTTGTTATAGAGAAATATACATGTAAACAGAAAATGTCATTGTTTGATTTATCATGTGATTTTAATTTATTTACAATAATTTATAACCTCTAAAAGATTACTTTATAAGTTCACGGAGCACCTTTTTAATGGACCTGAAATGATTGATTGTTTATTATAAAGAAGACATTTAGATAATATCAGAAGACAACAGGTACCTATGTTCTTAACTAATTTAAATTGCATGTTAAATAAAACTGTGATAGCAATTATGTTGCACACAAACTAGATTAAAATCTAAGATAACAGAAGTAAACTTTATAGTAAAGGTACATAAATATAATTATTTATAGATAGATATAACTCTTTCATTCTCACAAACATAAGAAAAAGTAAATATTATATTTTTTTGATTGTCCGTAACTTCGGACGTAATGTTACAACCAAAAAAATTAAACCATTTTTTTTACTTTAGAGTTATACAACGCAATTGCTACCACTGGTGGATTAATTATTTATATTTCCGTATATTTTCTACTTAATATTATAACGTTTTCTACTTTCTGTAACAGTTAAATGTGCATCTTGTAGATAGGTATCTTTTTTATACCCGATTTTCTTTTCTGGAAGTTCCATTTGCCATGAATATTTAATAGCTTGTGTAGACTGCCCAGCATCATATCTGTTAAACTGTAACAGTGAAAAAGTATCCAACGAACACATTTTTGTCTGCAAGAATAAAATAAGTAGTTTTATTTAGATATATTATCAATTACAGTAACATACAAATGAAGTGGCTCACTGATGAACTTGCGCAGAAGGCTTTTCAAAGCGTGATATATGTTAACCAATGCTTTGTATTTTACACCTTATATTTGTTGAAACAAGACTCAATATAAATTTTAACAGTACTTTGGATCACAGTGGGAATTGTTAGGTCTGTTCCACTCAAACAAAGATTAACTATGCGCATTAGTTGGAACTTATTGTATATTTCTCAGTTACCTGTTAACATCGTGTTGCTGGGAAGTCCAGATTTCTTTTAAATTTCACTGTGAACGTTTCTGATCTTTGCCTTGTATTGTACTGAAGGGACAGGTGTGTTTTATCAGACAATAAACATGACTGATCAAGTGATATCATTAAATGATCTGTCGTAAAGATATTATACTAATTAAATTCTGAGTGGTTCTAAATTTTATTGTTCAGATAATAGTTACTAATATTTTATTTAATAGTAGTTTGTAATACTTACTTACACTGAATCATCGAAGTACAAAAAATGTGACATTATAATTTGACAGATCAAACTCTTATTAACATTTTTTCATTGTTATGTGATGTTTCTTGTGCATGTCTTGAAACCTATCAAATGTTTTATTCTAATATTAATTATGGTGAATGGCATATCTGTTTTATTTTAAGGGTCGGCGTAGATCTGACCGAATATCAGTCAGTTTGTCCGTCGAGCGTCCTAACGTAATACATCCGTTATACACTCAATGGATTTTTAATATGTAATTTGCGATTTTATACATTTTACATCTTAAATAAAGGGATATATATTTATATAACTTTGTGAATGCAAATTGAATATCAAAAACACTCCATTCAAGTATTCGTTTACATTGTTTTCAAAGAATCTAGTGTGCTAAAATACAAAACAAAAGTACATATATGTTTTTTTTTTATATGTTTTGTTATTTTTCTATTTACCTAAAGTATCTGATAGATATAACTTTGTTCGCAGGATACTCGTCTGTGATACGTTACGAGCAACCAAACGACATGGTGCATATTTTAGAAGATATGGCTGAAAGTAACAGATGAATCTGTTAATCGAACCAAGTTCCTATACAGTTTAGTATTTTTTTATAAGCTCTGTAAGAACTGTGATAAATTTACATATTTTTTATTTGACACTTTTAATATGTTTTCATATTTCATTGTAAGCGTATTTTTTTTGGATTTATTCAAAATATTATGTCCTGTTTATTTTTTTATACAAATTTACAAATACTATCAGTTTCTATGCAAGCTAAACTTAAAAACTAAAGTTTATAGTGCTCATATGTTTAATGTTTTTACTGTAAGATTCTATGGTCCTGGTGCTTAATTAATTATATTTCAAATCATTTTGAACCAAAATATTGGTAATTATAATGTTTTATTGATATGTACAATGTACATACGGCAGTGCATTAGTGTACTTATACTCCATTCATTATAGCATTAGACAGAAGTTAAATAAGGTTCTTTTTATGGTAAACTTTGTGACAAAATATCAATAATCATGTTACTCTTAAGACTGACGGCTAATTTGCTACATATTCACTTAAATACCAGCTGCTATACTTAACTGTTATCATTTAAGCTATCTATTAAACAAATTTATTAATATTTGATTAACTTCAATGATTTAATAACTATTACAATAAAAAGTGTTCATCTTAAAGAACCTAAAGAAGCAGGGTTGGATAGTTTCGGCACGATTCTCATGTCATTATAATTCTACCAAATTTAAAACGTTGCCTAATCCCTTCAAACGTTTCGGCAGTACAGCTTTTTAATTTTGTCAGACTAGATGTATTCATAATTGTCAAAATACGTAATCTGGATTGTCATCCATTGTGAATGCTACTGCCTTTCTTGTTGTTTGCCGTTTTCCGTGATTAAGTTGTTATTGTTTTTTTTAGTTTTTTTTGTTGTTAAGTTTTATTAAATATGGACGATGCCGGTGCAGGCCCGAGTGGCCTACAACAATTACGCTCCTAAGCCCCCATACCTACCCTCAACCTTTGACATTTCAAGAAGTTTTTCCAATGTCTTTCATCAATAGTCTAATGTCTGAATAAATGTTATAAAAGTAATAATAAAAATTTCATTTTGTTTACCTTTCTTTACTGGGCATAGATATAACTAAATTCTATTCTAATTATAATCAAATCAACAGATAGATAGTTTTAGTTCCATGTTGGCTTGGGAGTAAAAGATGAATTTAGAAAATGCTGGCCTCATCTCAACCTCGAGGTATCGTAAAAAATAGAGACTACTTAACGTTCAAAGTTCAATAAAACTATAATATATATTTTTTAAATTTATCTTGTAAATAAAATGTTCGGCACTGCTGCTTCTATGACCCTCTTTTTTCTAATGTTATAGTGAATGGAGTATAGGGTACCACAAACTGCAAAATGTTTTAAATGGATTTTGAAATCTATAAATAATAATCGGTGAGACGGTTATGGTAATTTAATGTGCTGTAAAATAGTTGTTTTTAATTTATGTAAATATCCTGTTGATTGTAATAATTGTTTTAAGATTTTGTTTTATTTAATTTAATAATACGTATAAAATAAGGGGGAGTAATAGATGATCATGAAATTGGTTGTTTTACTAAATAAATAAAGAAGAATGTTTTACCTTTACAAGCAAGTTAATAAACATAATATTTTCACCAAAAACATTATTAGTAAAGTTTCTAAAAAGTATGTAAGAGAATTTATATAAGGTTAATTCGTTTATGTTATATATATTAATAATAAGAGTGCAATACATTTTTTGTATACTTATGCATGTTAGATTTCAATGTTCTCAAATAGTATCTCGTACACTTTTAAGTTTTGAAACAAATAGAAAAAATATTCAATTTAAATTATTTAATTGCAACTAATATGGCGCTTGTAGGAGTTACCAGTGATCCTTTTAAAAAGTTCAATATAACAATTCATTCAACTGCACTTATATTCTTTCATGTTTGTTTTGTATTAAATTGTAATACAATTATAGCAAATTTTGAGTAATTTCATTAACTAGGCAGACGGGTTAAGCTTCGAGAAATCTTCAATAATGCTTGAAGGAATTAATTAAATTAAATAAATTTTTACATGCAATAAATGTATTATTACAGTATATTGGTATTTGTAATGCTTATTACGTTAATTAAAATGGAAATTAGTTTACGGTCGGAACTCCGCATTTAATTCATAACATTTTTATTATATTAAGTTAGTTTTATACTAATGCTAAAATCCTTCAAGTGGTACTTCATAGGCGTTGCTGATTAGTTAATTGTCGAGGATTTTGTCATCTGTCTCTGAATTTGATTGCCTATTTTACTGCTTGATCTAAATTTCTACAATATGTCAATAGGAGTAGGTTGATTATGAAATTTGTTATATTTTTCAATCTGAATCCGAATAATATGTGAAGGGGTAGTTCGTAATCAGTAGACGAAGTGGGAGTAGGTTGTTTACCGGTTTTGTTGCTCAATCCAAATCTATATCAAATAATATATCAAAGAGCTAGTTTTGATCGTTTTCTTTTCATGAAATAATTAGGTTCCCCGTTTTGTAACAAGTTTTGCGTTTATTTATTGTTTTATCAGTCTAGTCTTTTCTCTTGTTCGTCTGTGCTTTCTTTTGTTGTTCAAAAACCTTTTATTAAAATACATTTCCCGTGTAATTCAGATTTGCACTATTATTGCTAGTACATCTTTAAAGTTTGGAAACGTGCATTTAGCTTGTTTTTATGTCCTGTATTCTATGACGGATTTTTAGTTTTCCTTGAAAATGTGATGAGTTTTTCTGAAATGTACTGAATTATGATTTCAAACGGAAAATATGTGGAGATTCAAGAGAACGAAAATATCAAATTTATCTCTGGCCTACTAAATTTGGTTTTATCAAATCAAGTGTAAGTTTAATTAAAATTAATAGAAAGTGTTTGCTTTTGGTCAAACTAAAAAAAAATATTTTGAGAAATTATTTACGGGTTTTTTCGACCTCATTCGATAGTGTAAGTAATTATACTATTATTGTAGGTTCTTGTCGTGAAAAACTGGTCAAGAATTTGTATCTTGTGTAAAGATCACATAGATTTTTTCTCTTTTAAAATTTTATAGCTGTCGTTTGACTTTATTAAAAATCAATGTATTAGTTAATTATCGAAAGATATGGGAGGAGTTAGTTAGAGGTTATTATCTCTCCTTACTTGTACTGGCAAATCGTTTCATTGTTTTGCTGTCATATGTTATAATTATTTGTTTAATGATTTCTGTGTTTAAGTTTTTTTCATTGTCGTCTTTTCTTTATCTCGTCACTAGCGTGGTTATTTTGCTACATTTTTCGTTGTTCCTTCATTCACCCCTATTAGCCATTTAATAAATGGACTGTTAAACACTCAATTTTTTTTTTCAATTCAAACCAGTAGCGCATTCTACCATACATTTGATTCATATAGTTATAGATTCTATATATACGGATCCTAACAAAATAAAAAACTATTAGTATTGTTTAAAAGACTATTGAAACCTATGAATTTTCCTAAATACATTTATTTAGGAAAACTGGTAGGTTTTTTCTTGCTATCCAAAGAAGGCGCGAGAATTACGCACCACCTGTTAGTTAACACGACAAATACAAGATTGTGACAAAGTCTTTAAATTAATATATAACATTTATCGAAGGTATTTTTGAAAATTAGTCTCCCACTTTTATCGACTTAGTTTAATGTTGTTTTTTCTAGCTCTTTATTCCTAGGCTTCCTCCTTTTTATTTTAATATTGAAAGGATTATTTTTGATCTCTTATTTTAAGCTATGAACAAAACAATATAAATCATGCGGTGTGGTAATGTCTGTAGTTAAAATATATTTTTTCGTTAATTTATTTGTGCACGTGTAATGATCCAAGGTCTCCCGTTATTTTTGGATCTGACCCTTATTTTTGTACGTCGTTTGTTCTATAGATGTTTATTATACCATTTAATTTGCCCTTCCTGCCCTATATCTTGACTAACTTTTGTTTCGTGTAAAAAAATGTCGTTACTCGTAGGTTAGACCTTGACGAGAAATTACTTTTCATAGTTCAGTTTGCTTTCTATGAATATGGATTTTATTTTATTTTTTTATTAAACTTTATTACTTATACCAGTAAAGAAAATGGTACAAAACGAGGACCTAATGCTAATGGCATTCTCTCCCAGTCAACCTTTAGGAAAAAAGATAAACACGATGGCGGCATAAAATAATTAACTATGATTAACTGCGCGTAGACTTGAATAAAAACAACTGACGAAAAAGAAATATATATATATATTTATATATATATATATATATAAACATACAACTACATACATATATACATACAATAACATAAATATAGAGACATAATATTGATTCCTGGGTCTACAATATTCTTTAATAATTTGGTAGCACGTGCTCGTCGTACCTGATCCACTTTCATCATCCGTTATCAGCTTCTTCAAAAATGGTTCGATTTCATTACGCCGTAATAAAAAAACACAAATGAGTACACAGTTCATTAGGTTTCTTTCAGCGAGCACGTGAGTTACCCAAATATCCAACATTTTGTGTACTAGTTTTTATCAATGCGTCAAAAGTGTTTTGTGGTCAAGCCTTCGGCTACGTCGTAACTACAGACAAGCCGGTCTTGCTCCACTTTTAAACAAATTGGAATCAATTTTATTCGTAACGGGGCGACCCGAGTGACGTGTATCTTTGACATCAAGCTGAAAACGCTTAAACGAGTTTTGGACTCTCACAGAAACTGCACTAAGTCCATAAAGGTCATAATTTTTTACCCGGCTTGCGTTGCATTTTTACTTTTTTGTAATAAAATTTTGAAATGTATCGAATTTCTTTATTAGATTCGTTTTGACTGTAAGAAAAACAAATTAACTTTTGAACGATACCGAAACCAGCCAGATACAAATGGTATTTTTATTACAAAAGGCCAGGAAGATTTTATTACAAATTTATGCATACTATGTATATGCGAAGATTTTTCCGAAACTAATTTTAAATAAAAAAACGAAATGTGATGCATTGTAACTTAGACTTTTAAAACTTTTCACACGAATTTTAAATATTATGTTTACACATTTATTAAATCCATCTATCTTCTTCTATTTTAAACGCATGAGGAAAAATTTAGCTGTTTCGGTCAATACAGAAAATACCAAAATGTTTTTTTCAACATTTTTTGACCCCCCCCCCTCTTCCTTGGTGGTACATGGTGAGGTTTAAGACTACCCCCTCCCTCCTTCAACTAAATCACGTGTATTTAAAAAATCTTATTTTTTGACGTCGCCTTTCGGTTTACTAATCGCGCGTAGTGGAAAAAATAAATACACGTGTTATATTACTACAATAATTGTTGACGAATCCCCCCCCCCCCCTCTTTCGAGCCTCACGTGATTAATAGACGGCCCCTAGTTTGTTGCAGTTGTAGCCAGTTCTATACTCATAG